GGAGCTGATCTATTCTATTCAGGTCCAGGGCAGATTCAACTGATCTGTTTTTAAGATCTTTAATTTTCAGTTTAGATTAATTTATAATGCAACCCTATTCATGTCTACGCATAAGTAAGTAATAATGCATCCTTATTCAGTCAACTTTATGAGCATATTTTCCAAGCCTTTCGAATGATTTGATATATACTGTAATGGATTTAGGGGTTGCTCGTGCGTAAGTTGCCGTCACTGCTGGCAAGGTTACCTGGTTAAACCCTTTCTGACTGAACAGCCTCCAGCATCGTGACTGTCTCAGTCGCTGGCAGAATCCGTCAGTGGGCGTTTCTTGAACCTTTTCCAGCATAAAAGTTGTTTGACGCCAAGTCTCCTCCTACTCTCCCTGCGCGGAAGTCTTCTGCGCAGGGAGGGTGTGGGCAGCGGAGTACCCATACTCTCTCCGCTGGTCTCCGGCGAGGAGTCTTGGAGCCTCCTCTCCGATTCCCCCATCTGCCCCCCTTCTCCACTGGTGTTACGCTGATTTCCTTCCCCAGCAGATGGGCTGCCTCTCTCCCTACTGGGACCCTCTCCTGCATCCCTCTGGAGCCTTCCCTCTGCCTCTAGCTCCGATGGCAGTTCCCTGACATATACCTAGGCACCTAGTGCTATAGTGCTATTACTGGTATGTTTAGATACTTGACTAAATATATTTTCATTTAAGGCAGCTTTCCCTGGGGTGTAACCCAGTTATTTATGGAATACCAATTGTATTACCTGCATAGATTGTTTTACTATTTTTATAATTTGTAAATACGGTTTTTTGAGTTTATGGAAATTGTTTTACTATTTTTAGGACTCGTGTTTTATTCTGTTTTTGTCTTCTGCACCACCTCAATGACTTTTAAAGTAGTCTATCAATTTGTTAGATAAATAAATAATAATAATAAATATATTATAGGCCCAGCTGTTTTCAGAAGTCCCTAGGCTTCAACATGTGTATAGTCACAAGATGGAAATAGCACAAGTGTGTTCAAATCAAGTTAATAGAAAAATATAAACTAGTTTGAGAAAGAATGAGAAGAGAGTAGTATGAATTCAAAAGGAAGAAGTTCAAGAAAAATCACTGGTTCAGTTTCCATGGCTGTCAGCCTATTCTGGAGCCTTAAAAGTAATAACTCATCCTGAAGTACAAGCTATGACCTACAGAGCATTAGATGTGCATTCGTTACCAAGGCATCTGTAACAATATTGCTGAATACATGACAAACCATGAACTGTTACATATTTGGGCCAAGGTGCAATCTGATTTGTAAATCAGATTGCATAAGCTTGCCTCGTATCTTGAAGTGCATAGGTCAAATCTTGCTGCTGACAATATAAAGAAAGCTTACACATGATTGTCAGTATTTATTATATGGTACCCTTTTAGAAACTAGACATGTTCTTCCCGTCACATCTTTTGTTTCTCTCTCCTTCTCTCTTTCTCTCTCTCTCTCTCTCTCTCTCTTTCTCTCTCTCTGTTGTTGTAGATAGAAATAAACTTATGTGCACACTTGAGGTATTCAACTGTGAATTGCTAAAGTTGATGCAGTGACATTCAGCAAGGCATTTGTGGAACTAGAGAGATTCCTGAGACAATGATTTCCAGAACTGGGCACTACACTCTGGACACAATGACTCTCTTAAGTTTATATCTTCTTTATTCCTTGTCATCCCATCCTGCATTCATCTTGCTTCCCCAGCCCATCCAACTCTTTCTGGAGCTTCGGATGATAATTCGCATATGAAACCTTGACAAAGATGGCTTGGAGCTCAGAAAGATGGCTTGGAGCACATCAGAGCACAGAAAGGGAAAAAAAATCATTTCTCCCTTTCTTTTGTAAATTGCCTCACAGGTTTTACATTTACTGAAACTTTCCCCCTTTGATCATACCAGATTCTCTTTACAACTTGCCCTTTCCACATATATTTCTGCATCTATAGTTTGCTCACCTTGCAGTTTCCTCTTATCTACCTCTCACCCACCCTGGTTGTGGCTCAGTTGGTCTCTGCAATGCAGTTTCTCGTGCACTGTCCATTCCTATTTTGAAACAGCTTTACGTTCCAACAGAATGTATTTTTCTCTGCGGGATTGCACTGTTCACCATGAGGAAACACATTCCACTAACCGGTCTAAATAATTGTTTTGTTTTTGTTCAATTTTGTTTCTCTTATTGGCAATATTCTGCAGAATACCTTGACCATTTTAATCCAGATTTTAAAATATATATATATATTTCCATTAGTGACTTTTCATTCAAACAACAGTACAGTGGTACATCGGGATAAGTACTTAATTCGTTCCAGAGGTCCGTTCTTAACCTGAAACTGTTCTTAACCTGAAGCACCACTTTAGTTAATGGGGCCTCCCACTGCTGCCGTGCCGCCAGAGCACAATTTCTGTTCTCATCCTGAAGCAAAGTTCTTAACCCGAGGTACTATTTCTGGGTTAGTGGAGTCTGTAACCTGAAGCGTATGTAACCTGAAGCATATGTAACCCGAGGTACCACTATACACTGATCTAGTTTATCTGATTTCACCTCCTAGAAATACAGTAATCCTACAAACTATCAGTCTATTCAGTGGTCAATATCAGCTGCTTCCTAGGGGAAAATACAAAGAACCACAGAGCAGTTAGTGAAATCATCTGTCACCTGCTGTTCAGAATAACAGAAAACCCAGCAAAACATCCTTAATAGAGGAGAAAGGACTTTCCAAGTACCGTATTTTTTGCTCTATAAGACTCACTTTTTCCCTCCTAAAAAGTAAGGGGAAATGTGTGTGCGTCTTATGGAGTGAATGCAGGCTGCGCAGCTATCCCAGAAGCCAGAACAGCAAGAGGGATTGCTGCTTTCGCTACGCAGCAATCCCTCTTGTTCTGGCTTCTGAGATTCAGAATTTTTTTTCTTGCTTTCCTCCTCCAAAAACTAGGTGCGTCTTGTGGTCTGGTGCGTCTTATAGAGCAAAAAATACGGTAGATAAAATGTTATGCTAAAGAATAGGCTTCTTTGTAATGTTAAGGCTGAACTGCTTTTATGACCTATACATGAAGACTACCCAGAAGATAGCTCAGAAACTGTAACCGGGACAGATGGTAGAAGTTCAATAATTTCCAGGGTGGTGGTTTTGTTTTGCAAGTTCTTAGTAGTTTGGGTCTACCATACCAAAAACTTATTGTTGTGCCCTGCTTCCTATCCTGCATTTTAAAGTATGACTGACCTGGAGGGCTACACTGCATGGTGACAAACCATTTTCTCTGTGCCTGGCTTGGATGTGCATGTAGTGAAATAGTTATCCAAATAACACCCACACAAACACATATTACTGGCCGGATTGTGATAAGGAGCTTGTGGAAAGTTATCCTCCATGCCAATGGCTCACAGTAAACTACTCAGATGACTAGTTCAATCCCAGCAGATGAAAAATATCACAATACACTTGTTTAATAGTGAGAATTTTCCACTTAAATATTCTATTTCTTCCTCAGTAGTCTTTTTGGCTAGTAGATATTACTATTATAGCCACAAGCCTATCATCTTCCCAGTATCTTCCATTTTTAGGTGATATATAGACAGACAGAGAGGTCATGTATCCACAGCAGTGACCAGAGGAGGAATGACTGCTGGGAAGAGGAGAGAGAGAAGTACCACCATGGTGTACCCGTAGCTGCAAAACCAGACACCTTCATCTGCTCCCACTTGCATTAAAACATCTCTCCCATATTGGTTTCTACAGCCACTATAACTTTCCAACAGTTTGACTTTATCCTAAATGGCACACTCTTCCATTGTTACTAGAGACAAACAGATGCCAACAACAGTAGTCAATTCTCTTAGATTCTAGAATCCTTTCCTTCCAAACTAATAATGGGAGGGAGGCAAAGAAAGTGACTCTTTGAAAAACAATTGTGAGTTGCACATAAGGGACTGCATTTTATTGGGTCAGATCAACAGTACATCTAGCACTGATTTAAGTGCCAGTAGCTCTCTGAGATGTCAGGTAGAGGCCTTTCATGGCACAGCTACTTTTCAGGTAGGGATGGCAGAAATTGAACCTGGAACCTTCTGCGTGCAAAGCTCTTCCACTTAGCTATGGCCTTGCAGTTACCAGTTGAATGATTTGAGGATCTAAGAAAGCAGGATAAGTCAATTTCACACTCTAGAGTTTCAATTTCAATTTGATGCTGATTTGGGGCAAAGAAAATATTGAATTAAATTAATTTAGATTGTTAGATTATAATAAAGGTTTGCCTATTCCACAATCAAGAATCTAATCTACTTGACCAGCTGTGGATAGTGCAAATTGATTTAATAAATGTGTGTGTGAAACACACATATTTAAAAGAAAATGTCGTATAATGCTTATTAGCAATAGCGGCAGCACAGCTCTTAAAGCGTTGGTCAATCTGGCTAAATAAGCAATTGTGAGATTAGATGTTTTCCCACATGCTCTTAGTGAGCAAATCTAGACTCGAAAGACATTTTTAATAGAAGTGGTGTGGACTTAAACAACCTGAACCAATCAAGATTCATGGTTAGCTAAAGTTGCTGAGAGAGAGAGAGAGAGAGAGAGAGAGAGAGAGAGATGATGATGATGTTTATATATAATGGATATATTTCACGGTTTAGACACACAAGCACCAACAATTGCATTTCATTCATTCCAAGTCAATTTAAAAGGCTAAGGAAGAAGTCCTATGTTTGAGGGGAGCAACGGGCAGCCTAGGAGCTACAACTGGCCTGTGGGTCCTTAGCACTGAACAGTGGCAATCAAACTGGTCAGACTGAATGCCACTGAAGGCTAAGCTTGAGAAGAGGCTCATTATTGCCTTGCTTTCTTTTTATATTCCTGGCAGTTGATAAGAAGAGTAAAATCCTGACTCTGCCCACCTGCAAGTCCCTGATCTCCTTCTGCTGGAGATAGGTGGGCATTAAAAAGAGGCTCATGGAATTGCAAACACATCATTTTTGGAATGAATATGTGCCTGCAGGGAAGGGCTGTAGTTCAGTGCTACAGCATCTGCTATGCATGCAGGAGATCCCAGGTTCAAACCCTGGAATTTCCAGGCACGTCTGAGAGAGGCTCCTGTCTGAAACTCTGGAGAATCACTGCCAGTCAGTGAAGATACTACAGAGCTGGACGGACCCATTGTCTGACTCAGTATAAAGCAGATTCCTATGTTGGGTAGCCTATCATTTAATCCAGGGCTATTTCCCCACCAGCTGGCCTCCATCACTGCCACCTCCTCCTTTCCTCCTCCTTCCTCCTGTTGAGGAATGAACCATCCAGCAGCCAGTTGTCTGAGAAAGAAAGAAGTTGTGCCATATTCCATGTCAGGCACTCAGCCATAAAGCACTTTTCTTCCCAGCAGCAGAAGCAAGATGAGGCAGCTCCAGTGGCAACAAATGGGCAACCGGTGAGGTGTTTTTCCATGGCCTTGCCTCCCCCATCTCTCTCTCTCTCTCTCTCTCTCTGCTTTTAGTTCTTGGTATTATCCCACTGATATTTATTCTTCCAGTTCCAGAGCTGAAGGTGTACTGCTCCCTCCAAAGACTCTACCCTTAGTCCCTATACACTTGGCACTGACTCTAAAAACATGTCACCTGCCTTAGTTCTTTCAAAATTCCTTTCAAAACCCACCTTTCCCATGACATTTTTGCTACAAACCCCTATTTGCTATACCCCACTCTATGGATGGGGAAACTACTGCCCTCCAGATGTTGCTTGATTAGAACTCCCATCATCCTTGGCTCTTAGTTGTATTGACTGAAACTGATAGGAGTTGGATTCCAACAATGTCGGGGGGGGGGCAAAGATTCCTCACTCCTGCTCTATAGTCTTATCCTTCCCTGCCACCCAGCAGCTCCTCTGTGGGCTTCAATCATGATTGGGAGAACTATAGTCTTGACATGGATATGTTGTTGTTTAGTCATGTCCGACTCTTCGTGACCCCATGGACCAGTGCATGCCAGGCACTCCTGTCTTCCACTGCCTCCCAGTTTGGTCAAACTCATGTTAGTAGCTTCGAGAACACTGTCCAACCATCTCGGTCCCCTTCTCCTTGTGCCCTCAATCTTTCCCAACATCAGGGTCTTTTCCAGGGAGTCTTCTCTTCTCATGAGGTGGCCAAAGTATTGGAGCCTCAGCTAGACAGCATCTCCAATACTAGACAGCATCTTAAAAAGCAGAGACATCACCTTGCTGATGAAGGTCTGTATAGTTAAACCTCTGGTTTTCCCAGTAGTGATGTATGGAAGTGAGAGCTGGACCATAAAGAAGGCTGATCGCCGAAGAATTGATGCTTTTGAATTATGGTGCTGGAGGAGACTCTTGAGAGTCCCATGGACTGCAAGAAGATCAAACCTATCCATTCTGAAGGAAATCAGCCCTGAGTGCTCACTGGAAGGACAGATCCTGAAGCTGAGGCACATGGATATAGGATGAAACAAAAATGAGGGAGAGGACCAGCTACATTAGTGTCAGTGCCCCCAAAGCCCCCATCAGATGGATGCTTTGATACTTTAAGTGGAGACAATGCTGATAAAGCCTGGATGTCTGCTTAGTGAAGCCTTAACAATCACTTTTAAGCATCCAGTGGGTGATAAGAAGCAAGGGAAAACATTCTGACATTCCCCACTTAAACTTCTTATATATTTATGAAAGAGGTGATAGTATCCTTCGCTGACTCTCAGTTCTTTTATGTATCTGAATAAACTCAGCCAGATACTTAATAGCCTGAAAACATGAGATGATTCTGCAACAAGGCAGAGTGCATCCATCTTTCTCTCCAATTCTGTGACAGTGATGGAAGGAGTAGACTATGGTCCACAGCAGCAGTCAGGGGTGGTGCAATGTTAATAAATTGCTGCCACCACAAATAAGCAACCAAGGCAAGTGCATGCAGGCATGCATGGGGCGGGGTGGGGAGGTTGGGTTCCAGGCCTTTACTGGCAGGTGTCATTTGGTAACACTTGATGCAATGATAGTGAAGTCAGCACCATGTAGCCATAAAACTGCTAACTGACCACAAGTATCTGCTCTTGATCAGTCAACAATCACGTGCCTGCATTATTATTATTATTATTATTATTATTATTATTATTATTTATTAAATTTCTATACCACTCACTCTTCATTCAAAGTTCACAGGGTGGTTTGCAATATAAAAACACAGAAATGCATACTATAATGACAAACAAAACAATACCCCTCCACACACACACAATTTAAAAGGCCATAGATTGTTTTATCAGCCCAAGGCCAGGGAGAAGAAGAACGTTTTCTCCCAGGCCCTAAAGATATGTAGTGAAGGCACCAGGAAACAGCTTTCATCTCTATCCCTAGCCCACCAGAGATAATTGACCAGCACAATCAGAGCGGTTGCTCTTATTATTGTACTATCCATGTGCATGGTGCTTTACAGAGTGCAATAGGATAGGTTCCTTGCCCTGAGGAGTTTACAAACTGTAATTTCACATGGGGAAAAGAATAGAAGAAGAGGAGGAAAGTGAAGGCAGGGGTAAACATATGTGATTATTCCAATCACACATATTTAGGCTTGGTTATAGACTCAAGGCTTATCCACACTTAGCTTTTCTCTGCTCTTCCCAGGCACGGTCTGCCTTTTAAAGCTCCGTGTCCAAGCACCCTTTCTTTGGCTCCAAAGCGTTCCCTATGAACACCTGCTATTTAAAGTTTGATTGGAGCAAACTTTAATCCACAGAAAACCCTAATTGACATTTGTTCTGCTTTAGTGCTAAACAGTGGGTTTTTGCCAGTTTTTGCTCTAGGACAAAAACAACAGCAACAATGCTCAGACATGAAGCTTTTAAGCGTGGACCTGTGCCTGGAAAGAGTGGGCAAAAGGTAAGTGTAGAATCTTTATCTGTTGCTGCAGACCCAGTATGTGCAGATCCAGTTGTAGATTGACTGCAGGGCTTGGCAGGCAGGCAGGCAGATGTGCAATACAACAGAACACATAGTGCAGGCACACTGTCAGAGTTCATGACAATGCACTGTGGGAGCCGGAGACAAGACTAGTTTCTCCTCCTGCCCGGCTGCCCCATTCACAATGTCCTTAAGAGGCCAGGTCTAAGCATTGGGCCATCACATTAACTGAAGCTGCGGTTCTGTAGGGTTTCATGTTAGCTTTCCAATTCTGGGTCCCATACTGTAAAAAATGTGTGTGTGTTTTTAAGAGGTTTTTGTTCACTTTAGCCATATTAGTTAATGTTGTCTTGGTTGTTATACTCTGAATGCTTTGCTGGGGAACTGTAGGAGAGCTGCACTTCCCCAACCTTTGATTTACCCATCCTATCTTTGACTGGCTAAGAGCCATTTGCAAGCTCGAATATTTTCTTTCTCACATGTGAACATCACCATGGCCTTCAGTGATATTACTTAGGGCCACATTAAGAGGCCTGACCAATTCATATACAGTGGTACCTCAGGTTAAGTACTTGATTCATTCGGAGGTCTGTTCTTAACCTGAAACTGTTCTTAACCTGAAGCATCACTTTAGCTAATGGGGCCTCCTGCTGCTGCCATGCCGCCGGAGCACAATTTCTGTTCTCATCCTGAAGCAAAGTTCTTAACCCAAGGTACTATTTCTGGGTTAGTGGAGTCTATAACCTGAAGCGTATGTAACCTGAAGCATATGTAACCCAAGGTACCACTGTAATACAAACACACACACAAAATTAAACACAAATGCCACTTCCAAAGGACTGCAATGTGTGAGGCACCTGACTACCCCTATCCAATCTCCCCAAAAGTAGTGTGTGCGCACTCACACGGACACATAAACACTATCTATACATGCCCTTATCTTCACTGAATCGAAGTGGGTTCAGCAACAGCAGAGGAAACATTTAATACATTGAAGATAAAAATCACCATTTTACAATTTCATCCTAAATAATGCAAAACATTACTTTTATTCCGAAAGTGTGGCCCAGAGAAAAAAGTTTGAGAACCACTGGGATTAGCAGAAAACTGCTCAGAGTCATGCCTTCTTGGCATAGAACAAGCAGAAGTGTAGGCAAGCCCTATGTTGCTTCGGTACCTAACTTTGTGTTTCAAAGTGTTTGCTTGTTTCATGCTCTGCTTCCTGCCTCTGTTTCTGAAGTTTTTCATCTGGAAAATGTAAGAGCACGTCATGCCTAGTGACAATACAAAATGCGTACATTTGCTACATTCTAAACATGAAAAAGTATTTGCGGACTATAGGAAACTATACATTGTGCCATTAAAAGACCTTCCACATTAACAGCTTCTAAAACAGTGGCCATATTAGTCTGTTGCAGCAAAAACGTGACTCTTGTAGCACTTTAAAGACCAACACATTTAACATGTTATAAATTTTTGTGGATTAAAGAAAGATTATGCCATAATAAATTTGTTACTCTTTACCGTGCTGCAAGACTATGTTGATGATGAAACTAATATTTTATAAATCATTTGGCAGAGTATACACTAGATTAGCATGAAGTTGGCATTTTCATTACTACACTATGTATGCTTGGCTTACTTAATTTAAAAGAAGACATGTTTCCTCTGACAAATGTTAGTGGCAGATATGCTATTTCACCTCAATCTTCTTTTGGAGCCTGTCCTCTACTAGTATTTTTCATCAAAATTATCAGGCAACACAAAGTATTAAGAGTGATAATTTACATTTACAAGGACAGGTATGTAGAAGAGTAAGTCTCACTTGATCAAATTCCCCAGCTAGATTTGCAAGTGGACATTCTACCCTTGATTATTTATTTAATAGCCTATCAAATTCTATCAAATTCAGTAGACCCAAGTCCCCTGTAAAGAAAGGCATGCCAACTGGCATCTAGCCTGAACATTACTCTTTTGCTGTTTGTACCCTATATTCAACATAGTTTCAGGGCAAAGTGAATAAAAAAGAAATTTCCTCTGGGCTCCTTTAATCAGGGAATAAATCCAACATTATTTCCCTGGAGTATGTACTATCATACATCTATGGCAGGCTACTCTTGGACAATATGCATGCCTCATTTGAGAAAGCCCTAAAGCTGTCTTGTAGTGCTGTGGCAATGTAGAGGCTCCATAATATGCAACTGTCAAGAATCCTGGAACCTGTGAAGCCTAACTTTCTAAATTTTCCATATAGTTGGCTGAAATAGCAGGCTCCATATCATATTGTTCTGCCAGTCACATACTTAACCAGCATCCCTTTGACTCTGCATCACTATACGGGGAAAAGCATGCCCATCTGCATCCTAATTCTCATCTTCTAGGGGCAATTGCTGGCATTTATTTCCTGTTCCTCCAGCATCCCCTGCCTGCATGCCTCCCATTGGTCAATTGCTCTTCTAGCTATCAATTTCTATCACCTCAATTAAGCAACATAAAGCATAACATCATGCTCCTTTACTTTGTCACTCATCTTTCCAGCATCTCCACAAATTACCAAATGTGTGTGAAAGTAACCCTCAACAAAAGTCTTTGCTACATGAGTTTGCCTAGTATAAGGCTAAATAGACTAATATTCCTGGTTGAGTTGGTGTTTTTTATTTTCCTTTTGATGGTGCATACTCAATATTTCCCCCTTTTTATACTTTCCTTGAATAAATTTCTTAATTGGATTCCTGGCCTGTATCAGTTTCTGCTCCCACTCAAGGACTGCCAGTCCGTCTCCTCTGCTTATTATTTACCTGATTTTAGTTATAGCCTGCTCTTCACCAGTCTCAGGGCAGGTTACAAAAATGCCATAATTAAAATAAGTCCAATGTAGAATTGAAATAAATAAAACAGCAACGACGTCCAATTTCTGAATAACAAAACAGAAACACATAACGGGTACACGGAGAAGACCCTCTCATGTGCTGCGGACTCCTTGAGCCACAGCAGGTGGTGGCACGACCAACTGGGCCTACCCTGGTGGTGTTAATATCAAGGCAAGTAGATTTGGGAGGAGGCAATCCTTCAGATATTTGGGAACCAAGTGGTGGAATTCAACTAAGCTTTACTTGGAGTAGAAATTAATAAACATGACTAAACTATGTTCATTAATATCAATATGCCTTCTCTGAGTAAAACTTAGTTGAATACCACCCTGTGTCCTGCTGGGCCATGTGTTTACATTACAGATCCAGGTTCATGGAAAGCCATGAGTGGTGATATGCTGAAGATGCCCAGCAGGAGATTTTCAATTCAGCTGGAAGTCCCCAACTCCTGAGCAGATCCTCTCAAAAGCCAGTGGAAGTCTCATAGTCTTTGACCTAGCAGTCAATCCAACAGGTGGTAGAAAGAAGAAGCTGAAATCACAAACTGATTTTTTAAAACAATCAGTGTGTGTGTGTGTGTGTGTGTGTGTGTGTATTTCATCACCTTAACCAAATTCTTGGTGAAGCATCTTTGGGCCTGGTCCTACTTTTTCCTTCCCCATGTCTTTGGCACCTTTGGTGGCTAGTAGGAGCCATAGAAACTGTTGGTGCACATTTCTAGGTGTGCAGAAGGGGGAAACCCATGCCAACTGCCCAACCAGCTCACTGCATGTCCTGGTGGGAAGGGAAGGAAGCTGTGCCCCACTAGGTCTCTCTACAGCATGGCAAGAACATAGCTCTAGGAATGCTTAACCCAGAAATGACATTGACACCACCTTATACAATGGACATGACTGTAAGATGGAACTGCTACATACACTGCCTCTTTCAATGGCTCCCTGGGCTCAAGTCCTTATAGCTGCCAGTGCCATTTATCTCTCAACCAGGCAGTCCAAAGGAACATACCTCCTCCATCTCTCAGCTATCCTTGGCGTCCCACCGTGATATGATACCCAGTAATACAAAGCAGTATGGTCCAGCTTATATGCTTAGCAAAATCAGATGGCAAATCTTTTCCAGGATTGTATCACTCTAGGATGCAGATGGCAGGAAACACTTCCCATCTTTAAAACTTATTGCACATACAAAACTAGTATGTTGGAGAGATTGATTCAACCTAGCCTTCTCCCTGACACAGTGGGGGGGGGGTTCTCTTATTTTCAGGGAATTTCATCCATAGGATAGCATTCAAACATGCAGCCTCCCCCACCTACAGCCTGAAGTGGGGCAATCCAGAAAAGCTCTGCTACTTTTTTCTACTGGATGTATAAAAGGGTCCTATGCCATTACACTAGAGATGCAAGACTTCAGCAGATTTTTTTTTATTGCACATTTATGATTATTTCTGCTATTAATGCTATACATTATGTAGACAATCCTGCTTTTAATACTGTTTGTTCCTGCAAAAGTTTTGGAATGGACATACTGCTTCATTTCCAATCAGCACATTCCCTGTAGCTTCATGCTGAAAATCCAGTAACTTTTCACACCACAAATGTTCTGGTTATTTATTTATTTTGTCCAGCAGAAAGAAATAATGTGGTAGTAATGTAGATGCATTGAGACTAAAGCAGAATAAATCCACCACTAATGCACTATTGTTGTGTTAAGAGCATGTTGCAGAATACGCCCACAATAAAACACCATTCTGGAGGGACCCAAAGAATAAACATGTTGGTTATCACTTCAGACTCTTCAGCTGGAAGGGAAAGAGGAAGCAAGGCAGCATATGTCTTAGATATATTAAGGAGGGTATTGCTAGTGGGATCAAAAACATAGTTAGCTGCATACAGACTGCTGGTAGATTGAATATCATTTACCATTGTCCACATTCTAGAAAGACCTCTTCATAGTAGACTAGGTATACAGAAGAGCAACAGATGAATACCAGAACTGAGAACTTACCTTATGAGATTGACTTTTTAATCTTAGATACAGTGGTAGTACTCTACAAATGAATTGGGGGCAAGTGCTAACACCAAAAAGTGGGGAGCTTCTCATATTAAAGCAGACTGGGGACGAGAATGAATGACTACAAAATGGCCACACTTTCTAGAGTGGACTTGCTCTGTGTTTATGACACATCATAATTCTAATTATATAGACCGATATCTGTAACGTGTGGATTGTCAATCCTCTGGGCACAGAATGAGCAAGGTCATCCATGGACCTAGTTCTATGATTCTCTGAAAACACATGTTTATCGTCATAATCTACAAAGTAGTAGAAAACGACTCATATCTCCTGATATATGCAGTGCTTTTTTTCTTAAAAACATGTTTAGGGGTACTCTCATTTTCCTACTCATTTGAAATACTGCCCTTCAATGAGGCCAAACTTAGATTCACAAAATGTTAGGGGTATGTGTACCCCTGCGTCCCCCCAGAAAAAAGCACTGGATATATGTATATGTATAGATGCTCTGGGTTATCACTGAACTTCCTCAAAACAGTCCCTGGGGACAGGGGAATGTTAGGTTAAACCAATTCCATTTTCTGTTTTGTTTTACATGTGTTTAAAACTAATGAATGTTTTGCAGGAAAGCTGGTTTTATTAATGGTTTGTCCATAACAGTTTTGTGAAACCAAAATACTTATTCCTGTGGTCTTTGGTGGGAAATTAAAATTATCTGAGGCACTTCCAGTTTTATCATCCTGGTTTCTTAATGTTCTTCTTAAAGAAAAAGCAATTAAAATAAGCAAGGCTTCTTATGGGTGTGGGGAGATGTCATGGGTCTACAGGATGTATGTGCTCACTCTTTCTTGGTTTGGTAGTGTAGTTGTCCCTGGGTAGGAAATGCTGGCATGCAAATGTACCAAGGCCGCACCCAAACATCCTAAGCCCAGGAGAAGATGCTAACTAGTGAACATAGTTAGAATGTTCTCTTCTATTGGGCAACCTGGTTGCACAGGGTCTTTTTTTAAAATCTTGGAGAAGATTCTAGCCATGTTCAACTGAAGGCATTTAGAGCCTTCCTTCAGATCTTTGCACATCAGGCGAGGAGGTGGCAGGGTCATGCAGGGATGTTGGTGGGAGACCCAGTGCCCACACACACATACTCTCCCCATTTGACACCCTCGTGCATTATTTTTAACAACATGCATTTAATTGTTTTTTAACCTGATATTATGAGTCATAACACTGGCAAATGAGTGGTTAAAATGGGGCATAATGATTGCCACACCAACACAATGTCCTCGGCCTTGAGCTGTAACTGTGCAAGGTCACAGAAGGTGAGGGACAGCAGAGTGAACTTCTGAAGGTTTTTCCGCCACTCCCACGAAGCCAAATACATAGACCCAATTCTGCAGACCTGGTATTTGGTAATAACTGACAGAAAGCAAAGCAGGACAGATCTGCTTCACTTGCCAAGGACAAGATGCTGCTTGTTCCAAGAACCTCAGTGACAAATATCTAGATAGTCAGGGCTTGAATTCTTTCAATGCAATTGACCGAGTTTGTCAGTGCCTTTAACAAACAGTATGCATTTTGTGAACGAAGAAGCTAATTTCCAAGCTCCACTCTAATGGTTGAGATGGGAAGAAGCAATAATTTACCTTGTCTGCCATGATCATGGAAGAGCCTCCATGGATACCTAGGATGGGTGTGAGGGTCTGGGCAGAAATGAAGTCCAGGATCTGGGCAATGGCTTCCTGGTCAGTGTCATCAGCAAACACCACACCTTGAACCCTCCGATCAGACATGATATCACAGATGCGGGTGATGATGCTCTTGGGATCTGTCTCATTCATGGCCACCAGTTCCACACGAGGCGTGAGAGAGAGGTGATGGAAGTCATCTTTCTTGTGGGCATCTGTGATAGCTACTTCGTCAGAGGTACCCACCAAGATGACAGCAATGCCAATGCTGGGGTGGTTCTTTTGGGCCCAGGCCCCACCACCTGTTGTCGCCAGGACTGCCAGCATAAGCCAGAACTTTGAAGAATAGCACTCTGCTCGGGGCCTCATTTTCAGCTCTTGCACTCCCTAGAAAGAAGGAAAAAAGAGGGAAAATAGTCATGTTAGCGTCCTTATTATTTGCTCCCTTTATGGATCAGAGCACTGGCCATGTTGAACACATGCAGCTGCTTTATGCTAGAACAGACCATTTGTCCATCTAGCTCAGCAAGGCTACAGCAGAAATTCTCTAGGGTTTCAGGCAGGAGTCTTTCTCAGCCCTTCTACCTAAGCTCCTTTTAAGTAGAGGTCCCAGGAACTGAAACCAGGACATTCTGCATGCAGTGTATGTGCTCTACCATTGAATTCTGCCCCACTCCCCCAATCTCTTGCTCAATTTCAATTTAAAGCTCATTAACTGGACTTGTTGCTTCAACTTTAGTGGTAACTGGAGAAAGCTCTTTGATGTTAGCCTATATCTGGAAGCTTAATAAGAGCAGGAAAAAGAATTAAATGACAGTGGTAAAAAAGAGAGGATACCCAAGACATAATTACACTGTTGTTCTAACCCAGAATTACATGTTCGTCACTGACAGTGCATCAGGGTCCTCTGCTCATCACCTTGAAATGAGCGTGTCTGGAATCTACACTTTGTTTGTGCCAAAATCTGTGTCCACTTCCAATCAGTTTTGTAAAAGAACCTTCCATCAGCCTTTATGCAAAAGATTCTAAAGATAAGGGGAAAGGCGGAAGAAGGCAGGACTTCCCTCCCTCCAGCTAACACAGTCGCTCCAGGTCAATCTGAAGTATCTTTTGTTCCAGTATTATTTACATGACCATAATGTAGTCCTTGTGGAGATAAATGCAAGATTTCAGGCTGTAGAATTGCTAGTGATAACTTTTTGCCAATCCTAATTTTATTTGAAGGAAGACATCAGTCAGCAGGCGACACAGCCAGTTATGTACCGTATCTTCCTTTCTTAGCATCTTCAGGTGATTACTTTTGCTCTCGAGGCAGAAGATCAGTTACCTCCAAGCCTTCAAGCTAATGGAGCTGCTGATATAATTTTGATTCACTCCCCGGAAATGCTGGCTTCTTTTTCTAAGCACTGAAGTGATGAAGAAGACCTATGAGGTCATCAGTGCAACCCTGCTAGTGCCAGATGACTCCCTACAGGATACTTTAGTGTGTCTTGTTTTAATAACATTGAGCTCTTTTCATCTGCAAAGCACTTTACAAGCAGCAACTAATTAATCCTCAGAGCTCCTCAGTAAGGTACATGTTGCTACTATTGTCTTACCAGCCTGAAAATCATAGCAGTGAGGTTTGCCCTGTGGACGCAAATGCAGTCAGTATCAGCAAAAACAGAAGTATTGTCTAGTCATATGCACAAACTAGAGTTTCATGTTACTCATCCAATTAAAATAACTGAAAAATACCTCTCAGATTTATGATCTGGTCTAGTCTCTAATTCTATATCTACAGTGTTTAACAAAGCATCCCAGGTGTCGGGATTTCCATTTCATCGCACTAAAACAGCTCTTGTCCTTCTGCTATGCCAGAAGCTGATTGAAGGAATGCAAGGGGAACCTCTGGAATTCGTTGCTTCATGACCCACACCCAAATCTTCACTCATTTCCATTACAAACCAGATAAATGTCAATAGCCAAAGTAACAAATTCCTGGATGTATATTGATGGCAGTCTATAACTAATAAAGTAACTGCTAGGACTGCAGTGCAAGGTGAGGAAAAAAAATTCCAATTCAGGAAGTTGACCCACAGAAAGTCCAGGGGGGCAGAGCCATTAATGGGCAGAGCCAAAAGCAGGTGGAGCTACCTGTTCATCTCTCCCTCTCCTCTGCTCCCCTTCCTCCCCCTCTCTGTGCCACTTTCTCAGCTCTTCCCCCACCTTTCCCACCCTCCATCACTCCAGTTTTCCTTCTCTTCCTCTTCCTCCTCCCCTTAACAAAAGGTGGTAGAGCAGTTTCAGTATGGTGGTTTTTTTTTTCATTTTCTCTCATTTAGACACACTGAGAGGAAGTGGTGCATGAAGTGAAAAAAAGCAGTATACTGGACAGAATCAGTAATAGTCAACATGTGCATGCACCTAATCTGGCCTATGTATCTGTCACCCGACTCTGACCAAGCTGCTGGGCAATGGCGGCTGAATGTTGCTGCAAATTAACTCCTGTGTATTTCACTAACCAGACTCTACCAATGGCAGAAGGGGTGGAGCCACTAGAGCAGGCTGCATCATAGCCTAGATGCAGCCCCTGGGTTAAGAGACAAAGAGCCTAACACAACTTTTTAACATTCCATTTGCTCAAAGCAGAACCCATAAAGCATCTTGCTTATACAGTAATGCATTGATCGTTTAATTACCATTTACACTGCTATAGTTTAACACTCCTGAAATCAAACGCAAATATACCTGCGCACACTTCACCCGTAACCCTCAATATGTCATTCTCAGGACTGTACACATTGTCCTGCCATTAATAAACAAAACAAACAAATGCATAATTACAATTCAAAGAAGGATCCAAATCCACTTAAAGGCTGAAAGAAATGAGTGGATGACATATCCATCGATTTTTATTGCTCTGGACTTCTGTTCATAGAACAAGCTAATAAAGGGGGGGGAGAGACTTTGAGAACGTAACAAAATGAATAGCTAACTTCATTGTAGCAGGACTATTCCCTCTAATTACAAGTCAGTAAATTAAGTTCTTTTACAAGGGAAATGCAGTCCTCACTACTCTGACAGCTAATTAATGCACACCGCACATGCTCTTTCACACATTTAATGTTATTTTTTGCCATTCTCCTGTGACTCCCCTTAGTATTCTTAGCGTATTGCACTTGGTTATGCAACGGCTAGTTGCAATGCTGTGAGTAGCTTTGACAGTCGTCTCTTCACACTGCAGCTACATTGAAGTACTCTCTAAAGCAGAAAGGGTAGATTCTACCAGCCCAGGAACTTACACGGACAATAGGGAAATCTGTAATGCAACCATAACTCAACCACATCTATAGCCAGAAATATTGTGGTACTTGTGGAAATAGCCTAAGGGTATAACAGTTTCAATATGAAACAGGGAAAATCTATCTAGCAGTTTAATATGTTTAAATCAAAGTTATGAATAATTTTATTAGAAGTTTTCTTTAAAAAGAAAAATTCAGCTGCCCACCAATATGTTTTCAAGTCAGACAACACAGCCATGAAATTAAGGGTATGATTCTTCACTCTGCGGCACCCCACTTGTCACTTTTCCCAGGATGGTGAGGAACCATTCATGAGCACTCTTTGGGTTCGGCCAGTCAACCAGCTACAAATCCACCTAACAGTTACCTCATCCAGTCCACATTTTAACAGCTTCTCTGCAAGAATATCATGGAGGACTTTGCCAAAAGCCTTACTGAAATTAAAAAAAAACATTTTGTCCACAACATTCCCCTGATCCACCAAGCTTGCAACTCTATCAAAAACAGAAATGAGATTCATCTGGCATGACTTGTTTTTGAGAAACCCACGATAGGTCTTAGTCAGGGGTAGGCAACCTAAGGCCCATGGGCCACAAGCAGCCCACGGGGGTCGTTTAACCAGCCCATGAGCCGCCCCCAAAGTGAGCCACCCGCTCGGCGAGTCCCCACGCGCAGACCTTGGCGCACCTCGGTGGTTCAGATCATGTGTCCCTGCTTCTGACACCAGTATACACACCCCTCAGGAAACAAGGCCAGATACAAACACGGATGGTTACAGTGTGGCCTGAGGAAGCCTCTCAGCAACTGCAGGACTGTTTCCAGGAGACCAACTGGAATATCTTCGACCATCAAGATCTAGAAACTTATACATCAACGGTCCTGGATTATATTAGATTCTGTACAGCAAATGTCACCAGGGAAAAGTATGTTAAGTTGTATCCGAATAGGAAGCCCTGGATGACAGGAGAGGTTAGAAGATTATTGAAGGCCAGAAATTCTGCTTTTAGAACTGGGGACCGGGTATTGTATGGCATAGAAAGAGCGAACTTGAAGAGGGGTATCAGGAAAGCAAAAGCGGAGTACAGAGGAAAAATTGAGGACCATCTGAGAAATCATGATACTAGACAAATGTGGCAGGGAGTCCAACATCTGACTGGTTATAAATCAAGGAATTCATCAGTGGTAGAGAGTACTGCTTCCTTGGTGGGAGAGTTGAATACCTTCTTTGCCCGATTTGAGGTGACACCAACAGTGACTCCAACAGGGATGCCAGAGCTATTGGCGTCACTATCTACAGGAAATGCTGCCAGGGTGGAAGAGGGAGAAGTGAGGCGAATATTAAAGGAGGTAAACAAGAGGAAGGCTATGGGCCCGGATGGGGTGGCTGGCAGGGTGCTAAGAGATTGTTCGGACCAACTGGCAGGAATCTTTACAAAGATTTTTAACCAGTCTCTGGCCCAAGCCACTGTTCCACCCTGTCTGAAATCTGCTACCATTATACCCCTGCCAAAAACATCAAAGATAGACAGTCTGAATGATTTTCGCCCTGTGGCGCTGACACCCATTATAATGAAATGTTTCGAAAAACTGGTGAGGAAGCGCATCTTATCTTGTCTGCCAGTGGGACTTGACCCTTACCAGTTTGCGTACAAGGCAAAGAGATCCACAGAGGATGCTGTGGCAATGGCTTTACATGCTGTCCTGACTCATTTGGAGAAGCAAGGGAACTACGCAAGACTGTTATTTGTAGACTTTAGTTCTGCATTTAATACTATTCTTCCGCATAGATTGGTGCCCAAATTATTAGACCTGGGACTTCCACCATGTTTGTGCAGGTGGATATTAGACTTTCTATCAAACCGTTCCCAAAGGGTCAGGTTGGGTTCCCACGTCTCTGCGGATCTCATCACGAATACGGGGACGCCTCAGGGGTGCGTGTTGAGCCCGCTTTTATACATGCTCTATACAGCTGACTGTGCCCCCAAATACCCCACTAATAAGATCATTAAGTTCGCAGATGATACAATGGTGGTTGGTTTAATTACGGCTGGAGAGGGGGAGACGGCCTATAGGAAGGAAGTTGAGCAGTTGGGGGAGTGGTGCAGGAAAAATAACTTACTGCTTAACTTAAAGAAAACAAAAGAGATCATTGTGGACTTTAGGAAATGTAAATTGAATATTCAGCCACTTATTATTGAGGGGAAGTGCGTGGAACAGGTCTCAGTGTTTCGATTTCTGGGAATGGAGTTGAGAGACGACCTAACCTGGGGAGAGAACAGCAAGGACCTGGTGAAGAGAGCACAGCAGAGGTTATATTTTCTGAGAATCCTCCGGAAAACAATCTCTCAAAGGACCTGTTGATGGCATTCTACCATTGCACTGTAGAGAGCGTACTAACTTATGGTCTGTGCGTGTGGTTTGGGAGCTGCACGGCCAGGGAAAAAACAATGCTATCCAGGGTTTTAAAGACTGCAGAGAGAATTATTTGGTGCACTCTTCCCACCTTAGATCAAATCTATGCTGCCAGGTGCCATAAGAAAGCGGCAGAGATAGCACATGATAGTACGCACCCCGGAAATGATCTCTTTCAGCTTCTGCCTTCTGGAAGAAGGTATAGGGTTATAAAGGCCAGGACTAGCCGCCTGAAAAACAGTTTCTACGCTAATGCAATTCTGGTTCTAAACGCAGCATAAGGGGTTTCTGTAGTATAGTGTTTTAAAATGGGGTTTTAGAGTTTTTAGGGGTTTTTGAATGTTTTATGTAGTTTTGTAGTAGTTTTATGTAGTTTTGTAGTAGTTTTATGTAGTTTTGTGTAGTTTTCAATTTCATTGTTCCGCAAGGGACAATGACAATAAAGATATCGTATCGTATCGTATCGTATCGTATCGATTTCTGGCGGAAGCGAGTCCCCACGCCACGCTGTGCCGGTTTAGTTAAACGTGCTGCGCCGGTTTAGGTAAACCTTGCCGACCCCTGGTCTTAGTAATCACAGCATCCTTTTCTAAGTGCTCACAGACCAACAGTTTAATTATGTGTTCTAGGACCTTTCCTGGTATCAACATCAAGCTGACTTGTCAGTAGCTACCTGGGTCTTCTGCCGCCATCCCTTTTTGAAGATGGGCACAACATTTGCCTACCTCCAGTCTACAGGGACCTCACCTGTTCTCCAAGAATTGTCAAAATGCTTTAGTTGAGATTCCTGCATTGCAGGAGGTTGGGCTAGATGACCCTCAGGCATCCTTCCAACTCTGCAATTCTGTGGTTCTAAGTCCATTGTGCATCAAGAGTTGGGCCTTGATAAACAGGGCTCTACGATTTCATGCCAGGAGCAGGGAATCTGTGGCCCTCCAGATGGTGGGCTGCAACTTCCATCAGCTCCAGCCAGCAAGGTAGGAGTGGTTCAGCACTTTCTGAAGGGCCACATGATCTGTGCCAATCCCTCTATGTGCAGACTCTGTAGCCACTTGGGAAAGCATTTACTCCAGTTTTGTGTCGCAGCAGAGAAGGAGAACAATTGATCCTTTCACATATTTGAAGACGTAATAATACTTGCCTCTGACTTTATTTATTGTAACCAGGCACCACATATCTGAGTATAAAGTACATGTGTGTCCCATCAAGTATGGGGGGCTCAGCTTCTGTGCAGAATTAGATATGTGACACTTTAATAAAAAAGAAGGTTGGAAGTGGCATCTTGATCTTTTCCTGGCCAAAACAATCAAGCTGAAACAGCAAACTGGAAAGGAAATTCTCTGTTTTGCTTATACAGTGGTACCTTGGGTTAAGTACTTAATTCATTCTGGAGGTCCGTACTTAACCTGAAACTGTTCTTAACCTGAAGCACCACTTTACCTGATGGGGCCTCCCGCTGCTGCTGCGCTGCCGGAGCACGATTTCTGTTCTCATCCTGAAGCAAAGTTCTTAACCTGAAGCACTATTTCTGGGTTAGCGGAGTATGTAACCTGAAGCGTATGTAACCCGAGGTACCACTGTATACCGCATTATATGTGTAAATTTGGCTTGAGCATATATTTGAAAATTTGGTTTTCTTCATGCAAAACATGTCTATTCGCAAAGACACAACAGTACCAATTTAGGAAAACTATTTATTTTTCACTATTCCTTTCCTATAAAATGACATACCTTCCACTCTTAAAATGCAGCTTTCTGTGTGATAGAAAGTAGCTTGGTTTAGTACAGCAATGAAACATTCCACAATTACTTTGAACTTATGTCACAGGAAGAAATGAAGAATAACTTTTTCAATTGAACCTGCAGGGAGAATTCTGGTGAGCAGAATTACTGAGGCTGGAATTTAGCCAGGATATCAAACTAATAAACCAAAATGCTACGAGAACTTTATTTAACACTGTACTTTTATAAAGGTTACCTGTAATGCAAATATCAATAAAACTGTAAGAATGCACAGGCCTATTACTAATGGCATGTAGCATTATGGAAAACACAGTTCTAGATTTGGAGAACTCTGGATCCTTAGTTTGGAGATGACCAGTGCTTTTTTCGGGGGGGCGCAGGGGGACGCATACCCCTAAACATTTTATGAATCAAAGTTTGGCCTCATTGAGGGGCAGTATTTCAATATGAGTAGAAAAATGAGAGTACCCCAAAAAAATTCTTAGAAAAAAGCACTGGAGATGACCATAGACAACCTGTTCTTATAGAAATGTTCCTTTTCTAAAATCTGTGTAACATAATGACTGGATATGATTTAAGAATAAGGGGTGTGATTCTGAGGCCAATGTGTGCATATGCAAGATACCAAAATCCTATCAGGCCTATTCCTAAGTCTTTACTGGGGGGTAGAGGTCTGTGTTTAAGGTATTATTTCACTGGCAATACTTTCCAGCATAGTTAGGTTATATAAATTGACAAAATGCAGGATTGGGAGGTTATAGCTGTTAGTGCTTCTGATTAATAAGCTGTACTGAGAGGTCTCCTGAAACAAAAAAAATTCCTTCCCACAACGCAGTAGCAGCAGGTTGCACATTCTTGCCAGGGGCAGATTTAGGGCTGTGCGAGCGGGCACCATCTCAAAGCCTGGTAGGCGAGGCATTGGGCTTTGGGAAGGAGGTGTGAGGCTCTGGCAGGGCCCTAGAGTACTCATGCCTCCTTCCCAAAGTCTAGTTAGTACTTTTGGAAGGAGGTGGGTGGGCTCTTCTTCTTCAACTCTAACAAGCCCTCACACCTCTTTCCCAAAGCTGAGTGCCTCCTTACCTGCCTTTGGGAAGGACTGGGGAAACCAAATTTTGGCCTTGCACAGGGCACCATGGTACCAAGTCTGCCACCGCTCTTGCACACGATCCATCATGATTCTGGAGGACAATGGCAACTTCTAGTAAGGCTGCAGGGACTAAGAGATCTTCCGAAGTTTGGAGGAGTCATTTCTAATGTTGATCAGATGCTGTTATGTTGTTTTAACAGACATTACAATATGATACACAGTTGCAGGTACATAAGATTAGAGGGGTGGGATAGCATAATGCATGGGATAATGGAATGGGCACATGTTGAATAAAATGGAGAGAGAAAACAGTTTGAATTAAATGGCAGAGTTACTTTCAGCAGGGCAATTATGTTTGGGAAACAAATTCAATACCTTTAGTTGGTATATCGGACTAACTATGAAATAACTCCTTAGATAGTTCCCATCAGCTCTACCACTCTGAAAATCATTATCATTCTGCTCTTTCAAGTCTGCCTCACTCTTCGGCAATCTAAGCCTCATGGGGGGAAATTAAACTTATATTTTATTGCCATAATCTTCTCCATCATGTGTAGTCTTATCCAGGACCAGCCTGCCTGCCCCCACCCCTCTGCAATGGGTTCCACACAAACAAAAATGCAAGATAGTGTCATTCATGTAAGAGTGCAATGCTTCATTTAGATAGAAGGCTATTTGGGATAAATTCCTGACATATTTTACTTGTCTGTAAAATGCCATGTTCACTTTGAGCACTGATAACTGAAACTAATAATCATAAAGAACAACAATACACTCAGTCAGTGAGGAGCCAGGGCAGCAGAGGCTACTGACATCTATAAGCAAGTAACCAAACCTGACACACAGTGTGGCAAGGGCAAGATCCCTTCAGAGCAGGAATTAAAATGGTTCATTCTGGAGGACTAGAGAGCATTCTCCCACAAGCTGTTCCTCAATTTTAGAAAGAGGTTGGTACAATTTAGGTAATTTTAGCTGTTCTTTAATGCAACATTCCTTCTTCCCTCCCTTCATTTCCCTTGTCTGTGTGGATGAAAGCCTGGCAAATATCCACACATCTCAAAGGATCCAGGATTCAAGAATCCGACATATGAAATATTTTATTAGACCAGCTTTTTGGTAGAGTAGCAGGCTTCTGAACCCTGCCTGCTTGATGGCTTCAGACTCTGATATACCCACAGTGCTGGCTCAGTATAAAGTATCAGCTGAAATATGCTGGATCTACTTTGACTCCCTTCTCTTCTGAATCAGCCTTTTCACCAGTTTCTTTCTTTTTAAAAAAATAAATAAATTTAGTTTTATTGATTTCCAATATATAACAATGATTACAAAGAAAGAAAACAGATACCAAAACAAAATCCCAATTTACCCCCTACAGGACAGATTAATCTAATTAAGTTCGCCCAAATCCAATCTGTAATTTCGGTGGTTGCTATTCTTCAGGGTTATATTTTATAAAAGCATGTTGAAAACACAATTTCAACAAAATCATCTACTATTATTCAATGCATGTAATCTCTTTGTTATTCTTTTCTGATAGAGCAATAGACCATACATTCTGTTTTCAATGAGATACACAAAGAAGTTCCAATCCTTTCCATTTCTGTGCCTCTAGTAGGCGTGCTGCTACAAAAAGAAAAGTAATTAGTTTGTTGTAAGAAAAGTCAGATTGCCCTTTTTTAAAAATAGTTAAACCCAAACTTGAGGAGCATTCCACATGCTGACCTGTAATATAGCTTATTTCTGTAAATGCCTTCTGCCAGAAGGGCTTTATATGTTCACATATCCACCACATGTGAAATTTGGTTGAGATTTAGATTGAATCCTATACTCATCAGTTCTCATTTCATTTTATCTCCCTCTTTCCCCCTCTATAACTACATACACTTTTAATTACCAAAGGGCTTGGGCCAGAAAACCTGACTCGATTTTCAAGTCAGACCCAAAGTGCCTGAAGGTTAGGTAGAACACTATATTGCTTTATCTTATCTACCAGTGCTGAGTTACAGAATTGAGAAATGGCCTTCCTGAAACAAACTAAAGGTTTGCAATTTATTTCACTGGCTGCATAATTCCAGATAATTTCTCTGCGACCTCCCTGAGAATCACAGAGTAGCTGACATTTGATAGGATTGTATTGTAAAGATCACTTATTACAAGACTAAAGCGAAACTAAATACAAAGCATGTATATGAATTTGTGTGTGCATATATAAACCATAGCATTTTCTTTTCAAATGTCTTCAAGCAAGAAAGGATTGGGCCCCTGCTCTAATATATGTTGAATGAAACAATCACAGTTTAATAATTGACCAAAAAAAGTAAAATTGTTCTCATGTTCCATACTTAAGACAAACAAGGCTCTAAAATGTATGAAGGCTGCTCTGTGGATTCAGTTCTGGTGGGGAAAACATGGAGAACCTTTACATGACTGACAAAAAGCTAAAGAGGTCAGGGATACTTGATCAGGAAACAGGGTTTGAATCTCCCCTTTTTGTTATTGGTTGGTTCAGAAAAAGCTGTCTCTCCCCTCCGCCACCCTCCTCCGCTGCCTCCTTTTTTTATTTTTTATTTTTAAAGATATTTATTGAGAATTTTAAAATTACAAAAAAAAGAAAAACAAGAAAAAGAAGGGAAAAACAAGAAAGAAACAAATAGCAATTAAACAATACAAATCGATAAAAGTCAAAAGCAAAAAGCAAAAACAAAACACATAGCACATCAAAATCGGAAAGCAAAAATAAACCACAAAGATTTAAAAACAGATCCAATATTCCCAAATCCTTAACTGTCATTACCTTATTTCATCGACCTCCTCACACCTCCCTTTTTTGTATTCTAGTTATTGTCACAGCAAATCCTTTCCATTTTTCATAATATTCTGTCATTAAATTACCTTAATCTATTTTAATCTTATCTTACCATAAAAAGCCCTAAAACTTAAAACTTAAATCTTATTTATACCAATTTCTCATAACCATAGCATATTCTTACATAGTTCTTTTTAACATTTCTGCTAAAGCCAAATAATTTCGTTCCAACATTTTTCTAATACTCATTAATTTTAGAAAACATTCCTAAGTAGAATTTTTAAAACTTTCTTCCAGTCTTCATCCAACGTCTCTTCCTCCTGGTCTCGGGTTTTGTCAGTCCTTTCTATCCCATCCATCTAGTTCATTAACCTGGTAACCTTATGTCCGAGGCCCTTAAGTCTCTTCCATGTCCCTTCCGCAGATCTTTTTCATATTTATACCTGTACTTTATTTTGTCTTCTGCTCCTTTCACTCATGGAGACTCCAGCTTGACAATATTTTTTGTCCCTTCTCGACAGATCAGCCCCTTTTCCATAGTCCACACTGAACTCCATGTGGTATTTAAAAGCATGTTTCAAGGTCCCTCCAAAGTTGAGGACCCCCACAACTCCAAACTCCTCCTGGCCCAACGCCAGACTTGGAAAGTCAAAACATCCCTGCATAGGGGGGTCTATCCAGCCCCCCATCTCCAAGCCAAACAAGACTCTATCTCTCCAAATCTGGCTTTTTTCAGGTTCATTCGTCAGATCCAACAACTCATGTTCCTGCTGGGCCACAGTTCCCTCCATCTCTGCCTCCCGGGGTCCAGCCACAACCTCCTCCCTCATCTGATCTGTCAGAGCACACTCTTGAATTGATTCCTGAGTGGGTTCTATATAGATACCCACTACCTGTCCAAAATTTCTGATCGCAACAGTCATCAAATCCGTCTTCTCATGTAACTGTTCCAATAAAGCACTTGTCTTGCAGAAAGCACACACCACAGCCTCCGAGTACATTGTTGTGCAAGGTCAAAGTCTGATCCCACGATCTTAATCTATTGCAGCTGCAAAGCTCCCCAGTTCAGATTTAATAACAGTTTCACAAGCTCCCTCTAGGGGAAGAGCTTCTATTTGTATCCATCTCTCTCTCTCTCTTTTTTTTTTAAAGCAGATCTAACAACAAAGTTTCCTTTTTCAGATATTTTGTCAATATTTTGTTCCTTTTAACTGCGAAGGAGAACAATGGAATCACTATGTTTCTCTTCTTTTAACTGTCTGTCAAAAACATTTGTCTATAGTCAGTGAACTCCGAAAACGTCTGTCCTGACACCCCGCTCCCAGGTTCAAGACGGTGGAAAATTGCTTTTCTTTACACACTCTTCTGCAGGTTTAAACAGTCCAGAAAATCCCCCCTCTTCTCCTGCTTCCAAAGGGGGTTCAGTAATTTTCGATGATGAAAGTTGATCCTTTGCAAACGGTTTTCTAAACTCTAGCTTGCCATGTCTTTGCTTTAATCTTTCTACAAAAAGCGGAAGGCTGACTTCCTGTTTAGACCTACCCGCTTCAGTGCCAAATTAAAAGGAATTTCTTAGTCCAATTTTCCGTTCTACTCACGGGTCGTTGTTTAGAGTCCAATTGTCCAAATTTAACCTACTCACGGGTAGTTATTTTTGTAGCCAGATTGTCACAGGAAAAAGGTAGCGCTCTCCGGTAACGGCTGTGTGGCTTCGCTCCACGGAAGAAGCAGTTGACTCTCAGCACCGCGCCGCTTGCCCCGCTTCGCTCCGGAGCCCGTAATTGGGTTCCTTTACAAATTGGGGGGGAGCGAAAGGTGCCTGCCGAGTCCCACGGTCACAGGCTTCACCTGCCTGTGATTTTTTAAAGAGTCCCCGCTTCGCCGTAGCGGAACAGACCCGATTTCTGTAGAGCCAGTCCCTCCGGATCAGAGGGAGTCCGCCATTACCGCTGGCGCCACCCCGGAAGTCTCCTCCTTTTTTATTTTTAAAGCCAGTGGGGCTAATGTAGCAAGAAGTGTAACTTCCAGGTCCATAAGGCTACAGCAAACCTATTCTCTAGCTGCACAGGTAGATGTGGAAGAATCTGCATGGCATTTCAGATGAGGCTAGTTACCCATCCATGTGCACTTGTCACACCTTATTCTTGTAACTTGTCAGGTTGTCAGAGTCCTGACTTATCTTTAGCCCGTACCTGTTTCTTGTCAATGCTTGTCCATCTTAGACCTACTTATCTCTTTACAGGGATAGCACAGGCTACTAAAAGTATGATGTTCTACCATACAAGTTAGAATATATATATATATATATATCGTGTGTGTCTGTGTGTGTGTCCAATGCATGCATATGAGAGAGAGAGAGAGAGAGAAGATGCTGGGTGGGCATTAGTTATGTTCCTGTTATCAATTAATCTATCCTGTAAATAATACCCAAACATCCCTTAAAAATCACGAGGCTTTCAGAGGCTTAGGCTCTATGTATATTATTTTAGTCTGCTGTTGGTTTTTTTATTTAATTGTTTTATATATTTTGTAAAGAATTGTTTTATTTTCGTTTTATGGTATCTGCTTCCAGGGAGGGCTTTGCTCTGAAATGCTAGAATGAATCAATGAATGGAATAAATAAATTAGTAGGAACTGTGCTAGCCCACATGACCATAGCTCAGTGTTGCAAAATCAAAATGCCATTGTAAATAAACATGGGCAGTCCATGCCAGCACCACAGTCAGCTTCTCTGTGTCCTAAACACTACAATGTCTTTGGCTCTTTACTTCATTTAGTCACTAGGTAGTATACTAGGCAAGCCCTAAAAACTCTGCAAAGTTTCATATTCTCTCTACAGCTTCATGTATCTCTTTCCCTTTGCTGCCACTCCACACACACACACACACAGAGAGAGAGAGAGAGATGCTAAGAAGAATGCATATTTTCTCATGGATAATTTATATAGTAACAGATCCAAAGTTAATCCTTCCTTTCAAGCCTGTCCCATGTATGTAATTTACACATAGGAAAATAGATGTTTTGGCAGCAGCTTCCAGGGATTTGAAGAGAAAAGCACTGCTTGTGTCACAGAAATTATAAATGAAATGCCTCCATTTGATAATCTCATTTTTCCCCTGGTCAATTTCAAGATTGTTCTCCATAGAATATTCCCTCACTAGTTATACAGTCTAAAATGATTCAAGCAGTAGGGCTGCTGCCATTAGAAGATTATCCCACATTCTAATAAAGCACACCCTTAGGAACTGTTGTGTGATAATTCGGACTAAAAAAATTCTGGCTCTCAGATTTATCCTATTATATTAATTACACTCCTGTAGTTTAGCTTAGACAATTCATTTCACCATATGTTGATTCTGTCCTTCAAAATACCTATCTGTGACTGTCATATCAAGCCACACATACAGCCATCTTTTTGCCAAACCAAAGATGATTAGTTCTCTTAACCTTTTCTTGTAAGCTAGCTTTATTTGGTCTTTCAGATGACAAGCCAGAGAGAATTAAGACAAGTGCCAAACCATTACGGATGGGGTTAGTCCTGTCTGGGTTATATGAGCTGGCACGTAGCAACTGACCTGCTGGAGCAAAATTAACACACACACAAAAGCCATTAAGTGAAACAGCAGGTCACTGTGACACTGCCCAGCTCTGGTGCATAAATACCAAGAGATGGCAGCTTGGAAAGCATGCTCTTTCCTCTGTTCTGTCTTGCAGGGCCAAACTGGAACTGCCATGCATATGCCAGGAGGACCGTGCCTTTGGATAAGTAGGAAGCAATGTAATCCTGCTTCTTACTGCCAGGTGGTTGGTGGGGGGACAATCCACCCTGACTCGGCAGGACTCATTTACAGCAGCTGCCACTCTATAATGGAGCAAACTGAGGGCAGAACAAGACATTACAAGAACTCTGTATTTCTTTCTTCCCAGCAATGTATAGCACAAGAAGGGGTGCAATAGGATACCACTGAACCATGTATTTCCTTTTCGCTGTCAATCAGTTATGCAAGGAACAGGAAAATGAAAAACCCAGACCATGTTGGATCTCAGAGGTACGAACAGTGAGCCTCGAACCTGAGGCCATCCCATGGCTCATTGATTGCTCCAGTCAGGGTGAGACTTTAGAGTATAATCCTAGGGCCCTGAACCTCTGGGGCCTCCCAAAGATGTTAGCAAATTATGGGTGCTGGTGGCATGATAGAAAACTGGTCCAGCACCCATCTTGGGCATACCAGGAATGAACCTGGTCACCATATCAGCTCTCTTACTCCTCCATCCCTTAATATGCCCCATTTTTCTCCCTGTGAAAGGAAACGACATAGACTAAATTGTTTAGAATATGATGGCTGCTTTATCATGTGCTCGGATGGAGGAGGAGTCCAAGTTGCGAACGACTTTAAAATACAGTGTACCGCCTTCCTTACGAATGCTTTGGATTACGAGCTCCGCTAACCCGGAAATAGATGCCCCTTGTTGCAAACTTTGCCCTGGGATGTGAGTGGAAGTCGCACATTGGCGGCATGGCAGCAGCAGGAGGCGCCATTAGCAAAAGCACGCCTCATGTTAAGAACAGTTTCGGGTTACAAACGGACCTCCGGAATGAATTAAGTTCGTAACTGGAGGTACCACTGTAGTGGCAACCTTCCCCAGAACTAATAAAACAATTCTGTTCTTTATGCCATGACCCTAACACAGGACAGATTGGGATAAAAGAAAGAGGCCTCTCTTGCTGCAGGGGTAGTCATGTCTCCTGCTATGAAACTACTGCATGAATACAGGCTCTTCCCAATATATGGGAAAGCTTTGTTGTTGTTGATTATCTGTATGCCTTGGGGGACAATGGAGGAGTGTGCCTTTGGGGGTGAGGTCATGCTCTACAGTTGCAGTTCTTGCTGTGGCCGTAGAAACTGATGTGTATGTGAGACGTGTTTTGTTGCAGCAGAAGCCGATAAAGATATCCAGTTGTACTGCTGCAGATGCACCATGGCATTTCTTCCCTCTGTGTTCCTCCCAGCGGTCATTTCTCCTCTGGTCACTTCTATGGATACACGACTTGACTGCCTGTCTCCCAGCACTGCAGTCATCTGCAAGGGATTCCCACATGGAAGGATTGGTGTTGCCAGCCGTCATGTCACATTTGCAGACATATTTGTAATGCATATGTGAAAAACATGCATCTGATTAGGGCACCACTCCTTTTAAAACCTGTTAGCCCATTTAAATAAAAACAACAACAACTGATTCTCTAAGACTGATTCAGTAAAAACCGCTTAATTTGTGTTCTCTGCAGTCTTTCTAATCTCTTCCCATCTTCCTTTCCCTCCATTTATCTTCGATTTTCCCTCATGCACACTTTCTCATCACTTCCCTTTCTTCTCTTTCCACTCCCCAGTCTCTTCCTCAGTCCTTTAGTTATAATGATCAGTGAAGAGAAGTTGTCAAGCTGCTGGATATGATATATTTTCACTACACGTTAGGGCTATGCACTAGACCATGCTGTACCTGTGGTTGTATGACAATTCAAGGCTCATTCCTCTTTCCAAGGTCTACTCTGGGTGGCAGTTAGAAGGCACAGCCAGCTTCAAAAGGACGGTGTGGCATTTGCTAGCCTCTCCCATGGTACAGAGCAATGCCCTTTTTATAAAGCCACACACAGAGAAAGACACAAAGCCACAATGGCCAGTGACAGCAGCACATTGGGAAAAGGGAGTGGCAAGGGAGAGGCAAAATGCGTTCAAAGGAATTATATGAAAGTGCAGATTCAGCTGGCCAGTGCTGCCTTCTTGTATTGTTCTATCAGGCACCCTCCCTTTTCCTTTTCTCCAGAGAGAGAAATTGAGCTGCCTGTCAAGCTCATTTATGCTCTCTGCTCCAGTCATCTCTCCTAGTAATGTACCTACTTTATTCACTCCCTTCTGCCTGCCTTCAGACACGTACAAAGATGTGCATCCACATTTTTCTTTCTTTGCCTCTTTCACACACACACAGCAAGCCTGCTCAGCCTTCCACACTTTCCCATTCTTTTCAGAAGGAAGCTTCAACTCTTATTGGCCCTGATCCACTTTTAGATGAGACCACTTGGTGCAATTCTAGAGACCTGACTTCACTTACAATAAAGTATTCCTTTGCCAATGTAAAAAAGAAATTACACAGATGACATGAAAAAAATGTTCCCCTGCCTTACAATCCCTTGTGATTACAGTGAAAAAGTACCATCTTACAAAATCTTGCTTTTAAAATCTTCCTAAAATCAACCCTTATGGTTTATTATTCCTCTGCCCATTCTCCACTGGTCGCACAAAGCAACCTAAAAGACTATCACATTAGTATCAAGAGGAAAATGTACAATGCCTCCCAGGAAATGCAAAATAATAATCCATCCATTGACCATTCCTGGTTATGCATTGATGGACTTGAATAATCTGGTGATTACCAAAACCAACAAACAAAAACAAAACAAAAAACAGAATCTGAGAAAGAGGGGAGAGAAACCGAGGGACCCTTACATGAAAGGGACAAGATAGGCAGTGGAGGGGAGGAAAGCAGAACTGAAGACCCTGTTGAGCAGCACCAGTCACCACTGCCTTATACTATGCAAAAGGTGAAGACTACTGGTCGGCTTCTTTTCAAGGAAGGTCCTTACAAAGTTCTATTGTAAATGGCCACTATTGGCCACACGCATGCACAAACAAGTCCTTTAAAAATAAAAATACAAACTGCTAAAACAAAGAATTGAAGCTCCTATTTACAAAAACATCTCCAATGAAAATTGCTTCACACTTTATGTGGCAACAAACCTAAGGGCAAAATTAGAATGAAAATTCTAGTTATATATATATAGGGATAATTGCCTGCAAAAGGATAAGCTCAACTTTTGATTTTAGATTTGTCTGGTATTGTATCCATTCGAGTTGAACAATCTTACATGTTTTTATTAAGTATGTTATTAACCTTATGAAATAATGCATTTCTAAAAGTGGAACATTTTCTACCCTATATCACTTGCCACATATTTTCACTTTTTCTTAAAAGCAGCTAGGGGGATCCAACTCAGACAAAGGAGAGCAGTACTGGCAGGTGGAGGGCTTACCCAAACCTGCTTTTTGCCCCAATGGGGAAAACATACGGAAGGGACAGCGGAAGATCAGCCTGTGAACCTCTCCTCACATTCATACCTTAACAGCTCTATGAAAGAAACTGCATGGTTAATGTATTTGAAAACATATTTTTGCATTCACCATTTACCTTTTACACATTTATATGTGTGATTGTGACCTTAGGCTACCCAACTGAAACAGAGCACTGCAAGCAAGTAGGTTTCCTTTGCACAATTTCCACTGCATATTATGGTAATTGATGCAGCCTCAAAACTACAAAACACACGACAGTACCCTTGCGCTACTGCTCTGACCAAATTCAGGACTGACCAGGCAACGCACACACAAGGTGAGTGGGAAGCATATTGAGGCTGCAAATAGAAATATGCATCCATGCTGTTCTTGTCCTCTAAATAAAGGGCTTCAAATGTCAGAACTGTCAGTCCCACAGCTTCTCTGTTGTTAATATCTACACTAAAAAGACAGAAAAGGGAGCAGTCACCTACAGGTTAAGATGAAAGAAAGTCGACAGGTGCAGATCTTGGGATGGAGGGCAAAACTTACAAGAGAACCACTATAGACAAGTTATGACAAATTACTGTAGAAAGGGCATCCTTTTTGGAAAAGAATTACCCAACACTGTAGTGCTCATGAAACAAGCCCAGAAATCCAGTCCTATACTCCATGAAATATAAATCATACCCATTTGCCTATCACTAGTTATTACCCATCATAAAATGCACCACACTGTTTTATTCCATTCTGAATTAAATCCATTCTGTACTTCCTGTGTAGCAGACCATTCTTTATATATATATATATATATATATATATATATATATATATATATATATATTAGATGTTTTCCCTAAGCCTACTGGTATTCACATCCAGTGAATGTAAATTAAAATAAGGACAAATCAGGTCTAGTAACTGAAATAAAGAGAGGAAAGGAAACTGTGACATAACTAGCATTTGTATGCATCAGGGCACCACTTACAGTATCAAGGCAAAAGTCATTCATGCCATGTTAGTAGAGTTATTCAAAGGCCACATTTCTCAACATGTCCATGCAGAAATCAAGGTCAGCCAGTTGTGAACCAACAGAAACCTGAAAACTGGTTGACGCTGATTTCTGCATAGACATGTCATGGTATGTGGCTATCACAAAACTATGCAGATTACAGCTGGCTCCATTCTCAACAGCAATCATTGAGTTCTACAGAGCAAACTAAACAGGCAACAATTTGAGATACAATTCAGTCTGACTGTTCTCCTCGGCACTGAGGCAGGGGCAGGCCGAGATCTCTCCTAGTAGTGTCCCTGAGTGTATCCCTATACTTACACCAAATGAGGGCCAATTTAGAGATAATAGTGGAGTGGAGGCAAAACCCACTCACTACTCCAAGAGTGAACTGCCCAGCCTCTACCAACAAACCCCCCACTGGAGGATATAATTATTACAAGTTCTCATACATAGGTGTGGGGTGTATGGGGAAGAAGTATTAGGGAAGAAGTAATTAGGGAATGTGTCCAGTGGGGGACACATTGTGCTCCTTTGTCGGAGCCAGCCGTCACAAATGGCGCAGTTTAGCATAAAATAAAGACACAGAGAGCCAGCAATATTTTCAGGATGGTATGAGCAGCTCCTTTCGAACTTCTCTTCTCTCCCATAACTTTTATTATCCTTTGTTCTCTCCTGTAGCATGGCCGTTTGCCAATGTCTCACATTACCTACATCCGGTCATGGCTTAAACCCGCCCATCGCCATATAGGGTTATTACTGCCCAGAGGGGGAACATAACTCCATATAAGGCTATGCACTTAATACACTGCAAGGCACGGACATGCAGGTCACTGAGTTCAGCGAGGCACCAGGTGGCGCTACAAGCCTTTTTCATGACTTCCTGGCTCCCACACTCCTTCTGGGTAGTTTCTCCACCTTTGGTCCCCATCCTGCACTCAGATCCCAGAGGCTGTCAGCATGTGACAGCGGCCACACCCCGGGAAACGGCTTCAACTAGCCAGCTAAGCCAGGTGAGGGAAGCTGATGGGACTTCCCCTTCATGCGAAGACATGTTCTGGCAGATTGAACAGACGAGACCAATAGTGGGTCCAATGCTCAAGAAGGCCATTTCTGAACATGCTGTAGAGGGAAGTGAGGGACAGATGAGGCTCATCAACTTGGGAAGGTAACCCATCTAGGAGAAGAAATACTCTGATCCTAAACCTCTGCTACCTTGTGGGATATCTTTGGGAGAAGCAAAGGCTAAGGAGTAAACCCTACACAAATCTGGAGTGGAGTCCCGAAGATGATTGGATGGTGCCTTGTGTGCCTCCTTCTGACAAGCTGATGCCAAGCATATTGCTATGCTTTCTGTTGGACTTCACCAGCATGGCTGAGAAGGGGGTCTTCTCGTCTGGGCAGCCCAGGACCTCCATACACATTGCCGAGGTTTGCGTCCTGGGGAGGTCACTTCGATGGGCTAACACAGCAGTTTGACTTCACCCCCAGAGGCTCACTTCATTGTCTCGCAAGACAAATGGATGCCAACAACAATCATACATAGCCATACATAACCAAATGAAATCATTTTGCTATCATAAGTAGCACTTATGGAAATAGAGGGATCAAGAAGATATGGAACAACATCAGTACTGGCTACTGTGCATAGGATAGGGCAGAAAGCCAACAGTAGGTGGGGCTAGCACCAATGGCAGGCACAGCCAACCAGTTCTAGTTTTGTTTCTGTCCTCCTATCCATTGAGTACTAGGAGGACATCACTGAGACTGAGGAGCAAAGTGACAGCCACTCTTGGACTGCTTGTAAGTATGAAGGCAGGAAGATTGGGATGGCTGAAGGCACACTGAGGTTGATGGAGTAGTGCCCCATTTGCCTAAATATTCCAGTCTCTGCTGTCAAGCAATTTAACAATGGAAAGCCAACTAAAACAGCCATGGCATTTAAGGAGTCGAACAAAATGAATTTAAAGACTGATCAATTTGAAGCATGATCTGCAATGGTGGGCACATAACATAGACTCATCACCAGTAATAGCAACTTCTTTCTCTTCTGAATATATTTGTTTTCTGTATTCAGTTGCCACAGTCATTAAAGGCAACTGCTGTAGATTTCAGCAGCTTCGGCAATGCAACATAATATGCAAGAGAAACTGTTATGTGGCAGTGAGGGACATTAACCCTAGCCCTGATTATTGCTCCCTATATACTACAGACATGTGTGCTATTTGAGCTCACTTTGCAGCTGCAGTAGCCACTATGTGGGGACCAAAACTTTCATATGTAACATTTTCCATACATCTACAGCCACATTGTCAAATAATCTTCTTGCCATGGACATAATCAAAGATGCATACCGATGTACCTGCAAATGCAAGTGGCTGTGAGTGAGTTCTTCCTCTTTACCCTTGCTCTGGTTGGATTGTCTATTTAATTTCATTTATGGGCTTCACATGCTTATTCATTCAAATGTTTGTTTAGCACTTTGTTGTTGCTGTTGTTTATAAAATAAAAAAAAACCCTTTGTTTCAAATGTCATATTGTTCCAAGGATAGTGGGGAAATGCTATTGAATGGTCACACAGCTGGCCAATCAGCTCTGTATTTCAGTTCCAATAAGGTAAAACAGGGTTCTGCTGAAGTTGATCCAAAGGAAAAGGTTATACATCTGTCTAAAAATGTAGTGAGCACATTTCTACAGTAGCGTCGTTGCTAAAATTATGTACATCTGTACATATCCTAAGGCAGTAAGTTGCATAGAAACAGGTTAAACTGAATTCGCTGGCAACTAGCTCACACAGTCAAAGGGGCAATGAATAGGTACATACATATGTGATAAAACTCAGTCACATGCTTCTCTTTTGACAGAAATTTCATACTTAAAAGGATACATGTATGGTTGTGCCTTCATTTCTTACCTGAGAATACCTGAGTGGCACACCCTGGAAGGAAACTACTGAGCAAATGCCTCCAGACAAAGAGGAAAAGAAATGAAAAGTGCTTCAGGAGTTCTGTTCTCCGTAGCTGATAGTGCTTTACTTTTGCTTCTTAGTCGGGTCCATTAACATGCAACTAGCGTTTGCTGCTCTTCCACTGCACTCTAGTCCAGGTTTAGTTTGAACATGCGGCAAACTGGTTAATGCATGACATGCACATGCATAAGCAGCCAAGAAGAACAGAAGAATAGTAAGCGGGATAAAAGCAATCTCTGGTCTGGAAAGAAAGAGGGGTGACCCAATGTTAGAAAGGTGCAGTTACTTTTCAGACTGTGGCTAAATACTTCCAAAGCATTGAAAGCACCTAATGTGTAAAGGATACTGTCAGGAGTACCATGCCACTACCTATCATTCCTAAATATTTAATCTGATGGAGAAGCTGCTGTCATTTACTGTATCAATGCAACGTTGGGACTAGATATTGTGGGAAGCCAGTGAGTATTTTACCTGAGGAGCCAACCTTCCCAGCTAATTTGTTGCATCTCAAATTTCAGCATCCATCTGGGCAAGGGTAACAAAATGTTTTGCGCTCCAATCGTTTATATTTAATTTTCAAATCAGCTCATATTTATGTACATCTTTAAATGGATCCTGAATTCTAATAATCATCTGAAATGAATTCAGTGTCTTCATTGTGTTCAGCTATATGACTTTCAAAACTGGCTACATTTAAAAAAGCAGAAATGTTAACATCTGAAGTGCAAATGAGACACCTACTCAGTAATTGGCATAAATGCAATTGTTTTTGTTTGCTGCATCCTATTACCCTAAATTTTTGTGATCAGTGTTTCTTTGAAAATGTCACAAATGGGAGAGAGAAGGATGGTCATGGTACTTTGGGACATATTATTTCTAAAACTGCCATCAATTCACATCAACCTTTGTTTTATATTTAGAGAAACATGTTTTGAATTATTTTTTAAATTATGATGTTTATGTCCATGGTTAACATAGAACAACCCAGGATACACCACAAAGCCAAAAATGTATTGGATATTTTTCCTCTCTGGCAGATCCGGGTCTCAGATCCTTGCAGAATCATCTACTGTGCACACATCGCCTCTTTCAAGCTTGGCCAACATACCGGAAAACAGAGAGAGATCCATTGCATCCAGTCTCCCAATAAATCACTAATGCTGCTTTGTTGTCATTGCTACCATTGAGTTCCAGGGCTTATTCCCATTAAGAGGATGATGCTAAAAGCTGTGACAGTGGACTGATAGAAAGGATGGGGAGAATCTTCTATTAAGCAAGGTCAAGGGTGGAGAAATGATGGCGCAAACAAAAAAATGCTATTAAAAATAATGGTCTTGCCCAGAAAAAAAATAAAATCCTCCGTTCTGCATTACCAAGTCATGACTGGAAGGCCAAAACAACAATAAAATATAATCTAAAAACTTAAAATATAATCTAAGTCCCAAAACTATGAATAAATAAATACTGTAAAATAAATAAATAAAAGACCAATGGCAGTTGTACTGTGTATTCCTGCATTCTTATCTGGGAACTAGAAATGTTCCAGTGCTTGGACTTCCATCACTAATGAATAGTCCACTGTGCTGTGTCTTCCATGAAATCCCTGTCTTTCTTCTCTACTTCCTACCAAAAAACATCTGACCCAAGAACTGCTTTTTTGCCATAAGAGTAAAATACAGAGATTAAATAACTCTTTATTTAGCTTGCAATACTCTAATCCCAGACTTTGGGTTTTGCACAGCAGCACCATTTATACTTCAGATGGATACAACTGCTGATGCAACTCTAGTTCTGCTGCAAGTTAGGAGCACTGGCCTATACTCTAGTAACTCCTTTTAGTACAAAACCGTTTTGTCGTGGAATAATTTCTCCCATGACAGTAGACATCTGTCATGTATGAGCTAGTTGAGATTCCTGCATTACAGGGGTTTGACTAGACAACCCTCAGAGTCCCTTCCAAGTCTGCAATTCTATTATTCTTTCAGAAGGTAAGCCATTTGGGAAGAACCCAATAGCATGACAATGTTTTTTAGAATGTTTAGAGATGATGAACATATGCAGAATTTTCCTGGTATGCCAACGCTAACTTCAGTTTGTCTGTTTTTGGGCATTTAAGATGAATGATGCAGGTGGAAACACAATCAATATTTTTAGAAAATCTATGGACAGGAATGCTACTCAGCATTATGATGGCCACCGCCTATCCAACACTGGGTATAAAACCATAGTATAAAGATAGAGAATTATATAATCCATGTTAAGTTCTTTAAAGTGGATTGCCTCCTAGATTGCTAGAAATGTTAATCTGCTCTTGATATAAGCATGCTCATTAAATAGTGCAGATATAACAAACTATTACTGATGACACTTTACATTGCAGGGCCTCATTTTAAAATCAAAGATGTCCTCACTAAATTTAATTTGTAAGCATGAGTGCTCTGCTTTGCTTTGCTTTGCAATGCTTGCAGTTAGGCCACAAAATATAATTAATTCTGCTTTCTATCTAGGGACTTTTAACCATTAATCTACCTAATTGTTAATATATATTTTTGTATGATTTGTGCCTTTCTATCTTCCTGGTTCACTTATTCTGTATTTAATTCAGTTACTCAAACTGATAACATCCTTAAGCACCTATAGTGGCCCGATCATTTAGGAAGGCAGCAGTCTAATAACTTTAACTGAAAATACAACATTAACGAAGTAGGATGACAAGTCTATAGCCAATTAGTCAGTTTACTGAGCAGACTTCTGAACACTTGATTATTTGTTAACAAATAATCTTCAAAATATTTTGTGGGTTTGATCCCTATGTGTATTTTTAAAAATCACAAACTGTTAATAAATTAAAAGCATAAATACTTTAGCCAGTTATCCCCTCCAGATTATATTCCTGTCACTTTTAAAAATACCAGGTATGATTGTGTGTCTGTTATCAGATCCTTTACTTAGCGATCTGTAGGTGCCCTCTTAAGTGCACTGCTAGAATTACTATAATACGTATACTGCACATAAATGAATAGTTAGATTTCAACAACCTATTGCACAAACCCGATCAACCATTTTAACTCAGAACCACAATATTAATTTAAGGTATCCAGGTTTGTGGATACATTTATAGAAAAGATAAAAATATCATATTTCACATTTTCAATAAAAGCATTTTCACATTTTCACTCTCCCGCTCCCTCTCTCTGCTTTACTAAAAGGAAGTACCAACCTTCTTTCTCCCTCCTAATAACATTTGTTAGCTAGCAAATGGGTCTATGGCCTAGCCTGCTTTAAACACATGGTGTGTGCGCCCCCCCCCCCAAAGAGAGCTCACCCACCCCCCAGTATACCAACCACATCACTAAAAATTAAAGTTGAATTATGCATCAGCACTTGTGAGAAGCAGTGCTGAGCACTCACAACACCAAGGGCATATCACTGAATGAGACTGAAGCTTTTGGGGTTTCTTTTTTTAGATTTAAAGGGAAACCTCCTTTACCCATTTTTTCTTTTCTCTAATTACTTCTCACTCTGCTTCTCACTTGGGACATGAAAATGAGGCTGGTGCCGTAGTGTTAGTCAATGCAGAGATCCATTTTTGTATCATATTTGTGAGATTGCTTGCAACTGTATTAAGTTGCACTACATACCCTGTTAAAGGTTTTTTCTATTTACAGAGTTGCTTGGAATGGCAGCTAAGTCCCTATGTAGATACAGGCACAGAGAGAAAAACAGAAAGTTTGGGGCGAGTTCCCCCCTCCCCCTTAGAATTAATTACTTCTCTAAAAATAACCAACATGCTATTCACAGTCTTTCAAGACTGTTCGTCAAGTGATGCCTTTTCCCAGGGCTCAGGAGAAATTAGAAAAAGGTAAAAAATGCTGACCCATCACTGTCTGTCTGCTTCAATGGGTGCTTGGAGCTCAGAGTATGACTCAACAAGTGGACCAAACTACTAGACGAGACAAAAAAGAACAGAAACAAACCCTCTTGCGCCTAGCAAGCTGAAACATCAGGGCCATGTGTCCTAGCTTGTCCACCAACCTGCTGCAGGTCAATGACTCACGGAAGATGGCCTTCATTGACTGTTAGCTGAAAATGCTCAACATTTACCTAAGTGCTCTACAGGAAACCAGACTCACTTCTAATGGCAACCTCCAATAGAAGAACTACGCCTTTTTATGGCAAAGAGGGCATCGAGAAGAACCATGTATTCATGATGTAGAAACTCTCTTCTGTCTGCAATAGAACTGCCAACAGAGGACTCAGAACACTTGTTCTTCCTCTGCCTCTCAACCACATCATCCAGTTAACATCTTGAGCATCTACACTCCCACCATGTGCTCTGACATACGAACAATGGACAAGTTCTATGAAGAACTAAACCAAGCTGTCAGGAGGGTCCAAGCTTGCAGACACCTAGCCCTGCTGGGAGAATTCAATGCCAGAGTTAGGGGCAAGTGTCACACATGGGACTACTGCATAGGCCACTTTGGTACCAGCAGCATGAACAAAAACAGACAAAGGCTGCTTGTATCACTGCCTCTGCATCACAAACATGTTCTTCACTCACAAAATGTATGAATGCATGAAGAAAGCCTTTGGATCAACAGTCAGGAAAACTACTTCACGAAAATCAGCACAGACTGCAGCAAGCAGATGAACCGATGGGCAGAGCACTATCATAAACTGTCCTTCCCCAAAACATGGTTGCTGATGCAGCAGTTGACAGCATGCAGACTCTACCTGTCTTGGAAGAGCTGGATCTCCCTCCCTCTCTCCCTTAATGAGCTGAAGAACAGCATCAACTCCCATGCATGTGGTAAAGCCCCAAGACAAGAGAATCCCAACAGAAGTGCTGAAAGCCAGCCTCAATGACAGGCTCTATCCCAAGTCACAATGTGGCTTTAGAGCTCAGAGGTCACATGATTTTCTCACTGCATCAGCTGCAGGAGAGCCAAGAGCAGAGACACCCCTTGTACATCGCTTTCATAGGCCTGATGAAGGCCTTTGACCTCGTAAGCCCAAAAGGACTCCTCACACTGCTCAATAAGAAAGAATGCCCACCTAAGCTCCACAAGATCATTGTGTCCTTCCACAAGAACATGTGTTGCACCACCCAGTATGATAGCTCATCTTTGGATGCCTTCCCTATAAAGCATGATGTGAAACAGGCCTGTGTTCTCTTTTTGGCATATTCTTCTCCCTGCTGCTCTCAAATGCTTTCAGCTCAATTTAAAACAGTGTGTACATCCATTCAAGGAGCTATAGGGGTCCGTTTAACCTAGAACATCACCATGCCACAATAGAAGTATGGTGGGCCCTTATCCAAAAGATGTTGCTTGCAGATGATGCAGCCTTGCCAACACACTCTGTGAAAGCTCTGCATAGTCTTATCAACCATTTTGCCCAAGCCAACATGGAATTCAGCCTTACCATCAGCCTGACAAAGACCAACATCTTGAGTCAGGATGTTGCCAGCACTCTGTGCATCAGCACTGGTGACCACACGCTTGAGATGGTAGATGATTTTGTCTACCTGGGTGCCACCAATATGCATAACCAGCAACCTCTCCATTGACACTAAGCTGGACAAGCATATTGGCAAGGCAGCTACAGCAATGGCTCATCTCTCCAAAAGGGTATAGGAAAATGCTAACTACTAGGCTTGCATGTTGAGCACTTTGTTTTATGGTAGTGAGATGTTGCACCAAAGCACCTCGGGGAAGCTGTGCCTGCAGCCGCGGGAAGCAATGGCGGAAGAAGCAAAGGGGGGAGAGAGTGGGGGGTGGGCAAGTAGTGGCAAGAAAGATGTGGCAGGGGGGAAAGAGGTGGCAGTATGCCGTACCGGCATGTATCACCTCAAAAAAAGCTTGATAAAGGGTCTGGAAATCAAGCCTTATGAAGGACAGTGGAGGGAGTTGAGTATGTTGAGCCTGGAAAAGAAGAGACTGAGAGGATATATGATAGCCATATTCAAATACATAAAGGCCTTTCACATGAATAATGGAGCAAGCTTCCTTTCTGTTGTTCCAGCGGGCAGGGCCCAAACCAATGGATTCAAATTACAACAAAGGAGATTCTAACTAAACATCAGGAAGAACATTCTGATGGTAACAGCTGTTTGACATTGGAACAGACTTCTTCAGAAGGTGGTGGACTCTCCTTTATTGGAGGTTTTTAAGCAGAGGTTGGATGGTCATCTGTCATGTCTGCTTTAGTTGAGATTCCTGCATTGTAGGGGGTTGGGCTAGATGACCCTTGGGGTACCTTCCAACTCTACAATTCTATGATTCTACTATCTGGATGAAATTCCACCACTGAAGTTTTTTTTAAAAAAAAAAACATAGAAAAGTTCCTGAAATGAGTTGGTAGTGCACTGAGGAAAGGATGACATTGCTTCTTTTCAAACCAGCACTGCATAGGTACTCTAGAGAAGAGGTAGCATAGCAGAATCATGTGGTGTCCTGAAGGTACATCATCTTAAAAGAAAGAGAGAAAGAAAAGAGCTAACAAAACGAAGCCAGCAAGTATTGTTTGTGATGTAACAGGCTTGGTCAAGTGCCCAAGACAATCATGCATCCCATTCACCTATCAAAGCAATCTTCTTGAAAGTCCCACTGACAAAAGTGCCTGCCTATAGTAATTTCTTGGCAAATCTGCAAACCTGAAATCAAATGAGTTTTCAGAAATGCCTGTATCTATCATATTTGTTGGTTCACAGTGAGACGGAGGGCGGGGCGGAATCATGCAAAGAAGTAGTCACCCTGTGACCTCTGCCATCACTTACATGTTGCCATTAAGTGTTGGACTTGAACTTGGAAAACTCAGGTTCACATTCCTGCTCAGCTCTGAAGATCAGTGGGTGGCATGGGGCAAGTCTCAGCCTAATCTCTCTTAGTTGTTCCGAGGCTAAAACAGTACCATGACTGATTGGAAGAGGAAGAATGTGAATCACAGTAAGACTAGGGGCCAAAGGAGCAGGACTTCCATTTCCAGGATTCCCATAATACATATATGAAGCAATTCCTCCTTGGGTTTGCCTTCATTCTGCACACTCCTCCCTGTATTTGGCTACAGCCCTGGGAATTCCTAAGCGGCACAGATGGAGCCCCTGCTGCATCCATCCTAACATTGACAAATCAGCCAGAGTGTTTAACTTCCTCCTTTGCTGCTTGAGGATCAAGTTTCTATGGAGAGAGACCCTCAAATCCTTTCAATCAATTCCGCTTTTCATCTCTGCAGTCCCATGGGTGTTCTCTTAAGTGCTTATCTTTGAAGAAGTCTGAGGTGATAACAACACCCAAGGGAATTCCACCATGATCCCAGGGTTAAAATTGTTTCTCTTTGCTGAATAAGGCAAAAAGTGTCAGAACGAAGGGAGGGGAGGCAGGTAGTTGAAACAGGAAACCCAAAGAAAGTTAAGAATGCATATGAATTAAGTTAAGCTTTCCATACAAATTCTATCCACTGAGATAAAAATACAAATAAATGGAAAGGTTGTAATGGGCTGGGGGTGGAGAAATAGAAAAGATTATTAGGCAAAGAATGATAGCGTAGCTGTTGCATTCCATCTTCACTGTCCAACGCTGTAAAAGGATAGTTTCCCTTCAAGGGGAAACTGTTCCCTAGTAGGAAGATGATAAGGGACTTATGTATAATTTGTGCAAGGCTATTTTGATTCCACTCAAATCACACCATTTATTTCCTCATGTGCAAAGCAGTCCCTTGAAAAGACAACTACGCCATAGAGGTAATATATAAATCAGATACTACATACATAGTCTCCAATCCTTTATTAGTTTACATGCTTATTTGTGGGCCATTATTAACAGCAACTGCTATATTTCTCTGCAACTTCTTATATTCCAAGTCAGTAGTAGTAACCAACGTTTTTGGCAAGCGTGCCATGAAGCCCTAAGTATGAGGCAGTGCTACAATCTTATTATTTATTTCATAAAATTTATACACCACTTGATTGTAAAAAGCACACCCTCAAAGTGATTTCTACAAAAAGGTAAAACAGTATGATCAAGAAAAAGCCACAACCGTACTTTAAAACATACTAAGGTTAAAATACCAAAACAAACTGAAATTATCTCAACTCTCTTAAGCATCCGTTTTTGCAGGCGCCCACCAAAAAGAGTACAGTGAAGGCACCTGCCTGATCTGAATTGGCAGGGAGTTCCAAAGGGCAGGTGCTGCCACACTAAACGGTCAAGTTCTTACAAATGCAGAGCAGGTATTATGCGGCACCTGTAGCAGTGCTAGTTGCGCTGATCAAAGAGGTCAAGTGGGCACATGTGGAGCAAGGTGATCTCGTAAGTGCACAGTACATGTGTACTGTGACTCATGGAGGGTTGGACCACTGAGTTCCAACTGATGAGGAGACCAACCCCAGACTCTTCCTGGAGGGAGGGGCGTAGCTGGGTCTGCACCACAATGAATGAAGATGATGATGGTGATGATTGGCCTAACAAATGGACAATTGATATAAGTAAGGTCTTTTTCTTTTGCCCCTGTGATACTATCAAAATACATAGTATGTTGGTACAATGATCTGTGCATTCTGTATGTGCGCACACTGCCTTCTACATATTGCCTGGAATGGGGGTTTGATTGATAATAAAAGTCAGTAGGGCCAACTGGCCCCCAACCACACCTCCCAAGAGAACAGTATTTATTCTAACTCTATCTAAGAAGTGTGAGATAAAAAAGAAAAGAAAATGTTACAAATAAAATGAGGAAACATTTTCATATCACCAAGCACAATCTTTTTATACATTGGGGGGCCCAATGTGTGCGTTGTTTCTATTGGTAAGTGATTGGTGAGTCCAAGATACCCTTAGAAATATTAAGCGCAGCATTTCAGGCACTGGTGAACTATTGCTGCCAACTGGAAAACTGAGGCTCTATGTGTAGCTATCAAGAGAGGCTAAAAATATATGACTAGTCCAGGCATAGGCAAACTCGGCCCTCCAGATGTTTTGGGACTACAACTCCCATCCTACCTAGCTAACAGGACCAGTGGTCAGGGATGATGGGAATTGTAGTCTCAAAACATCTGGAGGGCCAAGTTTGCCTGTGCCTGGACTAGTCATTCACATGCACCTTTGCAGATAGTGCTTATTCCATTTCAGTGTGAAGACCAACATGTGAAGAAACTGCTAAATTTCTCCCCCTAGTGACTGCAGAGCTTTAATCATTTATGAGCTATCATGAGAGAGGGCTTGGAAATTGTCGCCCTGTCTATCTAAGCCCTAACTTCAGTTTTCCACACACATCTTAAGACGATAATTTTTAAAAGCAGGGAATAAACCCCAGTGAATACTGTAGCGCCTACTTCCAAGTAAATGTGCAGAGGGTTACACTATGTGGTTCTTTCCTCACCAGTTCATATTCCTACATTGTCCCACTAAAGGGTATGGAAAGGCACGGTAGTGCCTAAGGCAAAGTCTACTGAGACATGACAGATTCCATCATAATTCTTCTACTCACCCCAGCAAAGATAAAGCACTGTTAATTCACTTAATCTCCTATCCCAGGCACCTCTACTGCTTGTGCATGGAGATTTATTGACCGTTTCCTTTAGTCCATCATACTCTAGGCTTTTCTGGGATATCAAAAGGAATTTACGGCCTATGGAAGTTAAATAAGCTGCAAAAAAAAGTGCTCTCCTTTGTCACTTTGTATTAGGCTGCCCCACACCTATCTGTTACCTCTTAGCTATGAGGGCAGGACTTTGGGACAGAAGTCCAGAACCTCACTCAACAGAGTAAGCAAGAAGACTGCCAAACATAGCAGGCCTGACTGACCACCTTTTGAAGTAGAATCAAAGTAAGGGAAAACGTCAAAGGTCATCTGCGCCCCCGCCAGTACAGATAATTCACATAACCAACTAAAGAGCCTATCAGCAACCTATCAGACTGCTATGTTTAGACATTAAAATTACCTATCTAAAAAAAACCCTTTTGCTCAGTTTTCCAGCTTCGACTGCTAAGAAGGGAAATTGCTTCAATCAACTAAACCCTTAAGGAGCTGGAAGTTTATTGGACATAAAGGGCTCTGCTGGATCAGGTCAAAGGTCATCAAGTCCAACATCTTGTTTTCACAGTGTGCAGATGCCAACGGGAAGACCACAGCCAGGACCTAATAATAATAATAATAATAATAATTTTTATTTATATCCCGCCCTCCCCAGCCGAAGCTGGGCTCAGGGCGGCTAACAACAATCAAAATAATCCAATGTTCTAAAAACATTTCATTATAAAAATTAATTAAAATCAAATTGGTGGCAACCATTAAGCAAAATTCTGTGCAACAGCAACTCTTCCTTCTTGTGTTCTCCAGCAACTGGTATTCAGAGGCATCTTGCCTCCAACAGTGAAGACAGAACAACAAAGCCATGCCACTGATAATCTTGTCCTGGCTGGTATGTAGGAGAACAACTGTAAGAGTTGTTGTGTGCAAGCGGAAGGGCTGGGAGCTGGAGGGAGAGACATTCCTTGCTCTGTGCTGAACATAATCTGTGGCTTTGGGCACTCTTGGAAACCTAACGGGAAGCCAAATCTATGGGAGTGTTAATGCTGTGAGCCCTTCCATCCTATGCTCAGTGTATAGGTGTAAACAAAACTATATATATATATAAAGTATAACTATTTGTCTTAAAGGCACTGCAGCCTCTGCTGACCTTTATCCCAAGGAAACTGAATCTTGGGTAAACACTTGGAACCCCTGGATTCTCTTGCCAGTCAGAAATTGAGGTAGTGTGTAATAATATTATTTTTTAAGTTTAGTTGCTAGAACTGTACACAGTATTCCAACACTGGTCACACCATGGATTTGTACAACAGCATTATAATATTGGCAGTTTTATTATCAATTCCTTACCTAATGATCTCTAATGTGGAATTTGCCTCTTTCACAGAGCTGCTGCACACTAAGTGAAAATCTTCATGACCACAATGTACATTTCTGGTCAGTGTGACGCTGTTGGATTTCCTTGGCAATTATCCATTTACATATATGTTGAGTTTGATAGCACTATGGTCACTGCCCCCAATCAGTTCAACAACATCATGTACATCCCACTTCTGCTCCTGGGAACCACTTCTAATTAAATCCAGTATCACCACATCTCAGATCCCTGATCAATAGTCAAGGGGAACAGCCATTATGGGTATCTGGACATTTTACCTCTTTGCAGTGACTGGCACACACAAGCACCCATTCTATGTGAGGGTAATTGAAATCACCCATTGCCACAGCATTTCCTCCTCTGGATGCCTCCTTTGATTTCATTTCCCATCTCAAGATCACCCTGTGCTTTTTGGACAGTGGGATAATTATATGTTCCCAGTACTAAACTACTCTTGGAGCCCAGCATTACAACTCACAGTGATTCTGTGGAGAAGTCTGTCCCTTTTTGGATTCCTAGCTTGTTGGTCTCTTATGTCCTCTGTGATGTACAGAGCAATATCACCTCATATATATTGTGTTTATAAATGATGAACAGATGAGGTCACTTCCAAGGTAACTTTGTGGCTTCACGTGCATAGAAACCTTGACATCATCACAACTAGCTGTCAAGTGACTGAATTAATTATTCTACATCCAGATTCTCAGATTAGACAAAGGCACTGGTATTAAAATGTCCAAATGTTTCCACAGTCCATGATCACATAGGACCGTTTAAGATGAAAAGCCTCAGGAATCAGGGTAAAATCCAGCTCATTTCCCTCTCACTCAGGTATCCTGCGAATTCCACATGAGCCTATTTATTTGAATTAATCTGGCTTTTTATCGTGGGGAGGGGTGGGGAGAGATGGTGTCTATTTTTACACAAGAACCAGCCAACTATTTCAGGAGAGACTGAATAACATAAAAGGGAGGGCATGCGATAGTTAAAGAGTCATTTAATATGTTTGATAAAGATGTGTTCTCACTTCTAAGCGAATTGGGTCTAAGCTGGAATCAGAATCCAGTATCCCAAATTGAATGAAACTATCAACTTGAGGAATCCTTCTGAGTAACAAGCCTAGCACAATTATTAGCCATTCTATAATAAGTCCTGAGTACATGCCATGTTCATAATAAAATATCCCCCAAGTTACACTGCAGACTACTATAGTATACATGGCGTTTTCATTAGCAAATGCTTGCTTTTTAAACAAAGTTTCCAAAAGCTCAAAACTGTCAATATAAACATAAATAACACTTCAACACACACAGTTTCAAACGCAAAGAATGCTGTAAATACTAAGCAAAGCAGGGAGAAAGACATGATGCAATGGTGTGTAAGTCAGTGATTTTAAAACACCCTCCAACATACCTAGTATGAAGCCAACACGCTTAAAGCAAATATATGAGCTGCAGCTTAGCTCATCTGCATACACATCAAGACTCATTTAACTGTTAGCTCTGAATGAAAACCTACTCTCTAACACCCTTATCTTGCTTATTCTCATGGTGCACTTTGAACTTCAAAGCTATTATTTTACTCAGTTTGGCTCCCATCCTTCACAACTGAAATCTCACTATTTCTACTGAAATTAATGGGACTTCAGCAAGAGTAGCTGAATTGCAGTTTGGGAATTTAAAAGACCTATAAGGGTGTGTTTTGCTGCCCCTCCACATTATTTTTACAGCAGCAGTGGGTTTTGTGTCCAGCTGGCATCCCGTGTGAGTTGATAAGAGAAACTCTTCTAACTGGACAAGGTTAAGTCTTATAGAAAGCAACCACTATGTTTGCCTGGTTCAGACAGAAAAGGCAGGAATAGTGAATTGTGGTACATAAAGGCAAAGGAGGAAACACCACAATCACAGAAAGATGAACTATAGGAAATGGCCAACACTGAGGCAGGGGGACAAGGACATACAGGGTGAATCTAAAGGCTACCACCACAAGACACTTGGTTGCTTTTGCTGCTACAGACTACTCTTGAATTTCTCAGCAAGGATAAAGCTAAGATTTGTACACACATAGTACTTAATATGCATGTAGTACTTTAAATTATGCAAAGTACTTCACATGCATTATCTAGTTGTTATCCTTACAACAGCATAGTATGGTAAGTGAGAACTTTTATTCCCGTTACTGGAGGTAGGAGGGCCACTTCTCACCCACAGTACTACACCAGCCCATGACTCAAGGAACCAATTACTTGAAAAATCAGAAAATGTGACACTTCATATTTTTATAATCCTTACACTGGGGGAAAAGACAGATTAATAATGCACTAAGGAACATATTTGTATTTTCAAAATGCAGCCTGTACTGACCAGTGGGGTGGTGATGAGGAACTGGATCCAGACAAGGTGCCAGATTCCAAAATCCCCAACCCTCAGAAAGCCAACTTTGACAGGTAGGTGAGACCACCAATCTGTCGATCGCCAGATTACATGTGGGCAGCAGCAGGGGGAGGGGATGATTAACATGTAGAGTCAAAACTACATATAGGCAAAACAACCCCTCGGAACTAATAAATTTTACCTTCTAGAATTGGTGCTAGATCTTGCGATGGCCTTGAGAGCCCAAGCAATCATCTCTCAGAGACCAGTAAGCAAGTAGAAAGCTTAAAAGCTCTTTCTGTGCCAGGAAAACCCAGTAAAAAAAGAGGTTTTAAGCCCTCTGCCTTGCATGCATTTAATTTGAATGCTTGCAGCTGACTAGCCACCACATGCGTAAAACTGCAACAGAGCAAGTGAAATCTGCATAAGTTGCAATCCTACTGTAATGACATCTAGTGGTTGACATCTGTCAAAGTTCAAAGGTGGTAACCGCCGATCAGCTGATTGGAACCTCATTTGAAGATGTGCTTTCAGCACCAATCCAATCACCAACCCAGCGTCAATCAAAGAGTGCCTTCAAAGAGCCTTGCTCTGGAAAGGGAAAAAACCGCTCTGTTTCTGAACAGAGTGTTTTTTTCTAAGTGGAACTTCATTTCCCTATCTCCAGAAGAAGTGGTTTGGATTCAAAGCACTTACTCCAGTGCTTTAAACCCAAAGCAACTCCTCTAGGGAGCTCCCTAGTGCCATGGATCCTATTGGAGTACCAATCAGAGCTGAATGGGAGCCCTGCTTGCAAAGATAATATCATAGAATCATAGAGTTGTAGAGTTGGAAGGGACCCCAAAGGACATCTAGTCCAACGCCCTACAATGCAGTGGGGCAAGCAGCCATGGTTTGTGGGAAGCTGCCTTGTGGACCAAACTGGCAGCTGTGGCAGGCCTAATTAGACCCACAGGCTGCAGTTTCCCCACCATGATATGTATGGTAGGGGTAATGTGCATAACAACCAGCCACTGTGTGCATTCACCATACCTCATGGATAATGTGTGAATAACCTATTCATTAAGAGGAAACTGTGTGCACATTTTTCAATCATTATATATCCTCTCCAACAGGCCTTGGGGAACTTGCATATTTCAACAAATTTTTGTACACTCTCTGAACAATACGCACACTCTCTAGTCAAATTCATACTTTCCAATAAATGTGCCCTTTGTTCCTATCTCAAGTTCAGGGGTGAGCAGCCCATTGTCCAAAAGTTCCATGCAGAACACTGTATAATTTTATGCATGCACATAAACAGGACAGAACTTAATAGACTTAATTTGACGTAGTAATCTGACATTTGAATTAGTCCTTGCTAAATGAACTGATATTGGAATGGTTATTAGAAATCCCAATGCAACACTGTTGCCACAGTCATAGTTTTCTGCTTTGCATAAACTGACTTTCCTTTTAGACACAACGTAATTGTCTAGTTTATGGGAAAACCAAAGTTATCCAAGATGCTTCGACATGGTAGTTTCCCCAGAAGTGGGGAAAGTAGTAGCTCCAAGAGATTATACCTAGTAGAGGTGGATTGCATGGCTATCATTTCTTCCTAACACAGGCATACGTGAATGATGAGAAAGCTTCCCCAGACTCAAATCAACATGGGCTTCCCTAAAACAAGCTAAAGGGGTATAAAAGGCTGCAGGCTCAACTAAAGGGTTTGCATCGTGATGACAGCTTTGCCACAACCTACCTGGTGTGGCTTTGTGACCTACCTATGGGTCTCCACACACTGGTTGAAAACCTATGCATATAGGATTGCACTTCCTCTGAAGTACCGGTTTGCAGCTTGGAGATGCTGCTAGATCTGGCATTGCTGAATATCTAAGAGGTACTTGTGGCTGAGAGTGTGTTTGTCCAGCTTTGAGTGCTTACTGAATACCTTCCTCTTTCAACAAGCCTTGTATTTTGAGCTCTTTCTCAGCCTGCATCGGTATTGCAATTGCTTTTAAGATGCTTTATTGTTTTATCACTTGTTTGCTGCTCTGGGTTCATCTGGGGAGAAGGGCGGGGATATAATTTTTAAAAATAAAAATAAATTGAGGTTGGTTAGGAACAGGCTTGAAAGTTAATTTTAAGTTCAGGCGTATTCTGTAGTGAAATTACCTAATGCAAATCAGGAGCATGAACACAGCAAGGTCTAGAGATCTCACCTCTTGCACTGCCATGTGCACTTCCCAACTCTCACCCGCCTCCACTATCTCCTTCACTTTTTCACTGACAATTTTGTGGCAGTGATGAGGACAGATACTGTTGTGTGGCCTTCATCAGGCTCTGAAACACAGCACTAGGATTCTGAGTCCCAAAATTTCAAGGATCAAAGACCTTAACAAAGGCCAGGGCAGCAACCTTTTTCATTGTCACCAAAAAGTATGTTTCATTGAGACAGGGCAGCTGTGTGGAAGGCAGTAGGGCCAGTGCCAGGAAAGTTAAGTACAAGCCGAAACTGAACTGTTTGGATAATTGGACTTCATAACCAGCTGGAAAGCTCCAAAGTGGAGGAGTCATATTCTCTCAACACCACAATTCTGAACTTTAACACTGCCAATACTGGACTCTATAGCAAGCACTATGTCTAACTAAGAACTATATTGGAACCTACATTTGAAAATGAGAGAATCAAAAATTAACTGCCCTATCAGAAGGATTCTGGCTCATTAATATATAGCATGTGTATTGCAGGTAGGTGGGCCAGAGGCGCACCTAGGCTCCCTTGCATCCCTGTGGAATGCCCTCCCATCAGATGTCAAAGAACTAAACAACTATCTGACGTTTAGAAGACATCTGAAGGCAGCCCTGTTTAGGGAAGTTTTTAATGACTGATGTTTTAATGTATTTTTTATCCTTTGTTGGAAGCTGCCCAGAGTGGCTGTGGAAACCCAGCCAGATGGGTGGGGTATAAATTATTTATTATTAAGTATTATTATTATTATTATTATTACTACTACTACTACTACTACTACTACTACCACACCCTGGGCAAGGAGCTACCCTCCACCCCCATCCCTTCACCTGGAAGCCAGAGTGGAGGGCTTTTTGCGCACACACACACACACACACACAAACACACACACAGTCCTGCACCCTTGACAGGGGCCAACCTGGTCAACCCCTAGGTATGCTCCTGAGATGGCTCCAGTTAAAGGATATTTGGGAACAGATCTGGACACATCTGCCTAAGACCTTAGAGTGTTGCTGCCTAAAACAGTAGATTAGACAGTACTGGGTTAACTGTACAAGTGGTCTGGATCAGTATAAGGTAAAATACATGTTTCCAAAATAGAACCAAGCTTGTTTATGTATGAACCATATCACATGCCTTCCAGATGTTCAAAATGATCTTATACTTGATGCACATGCTTGCAAGTTAATAAATGCCTACGTAAAATATAAACATATGTCAAGCCATACAGGAGTTGAAATCTAGAAAAACTCTAGCTTAGCATCACTAAAGTGGAAAGCTTTGCAATCAAAGTGGGGTTTGGGTCAGCATTATTATTTTGACTGAGCACTATGATAAATTTTAAAATCAGATTTTATGAGAGTGTACTCTTTCATTTCTAAGAACTCACCTATCCTCGTCTGATATATTTAAAAATGCACTATCGCTCCTGACACAGCTGCCATATGCATGAGAAGTATGAGGTTGTTTCAGAAACTAACAGCAATTTTGACGTACAGCCTAGGCAGCCATTACTTCCAAAATGCCACACTGACAGTCTTTTTCTCAGACATATGGACTTGAAACTCTCTTCTAATCATTAGCGCTTTAGGCAAACCCAAGATTGTAGCTTACTCATGAATACAACTTTTCCCATTTTCATATGACTTCAGAAGATTTTCCTCAAGACTTCCCAGCATTTCCAAATGCAGACTGGGAAAATTCCTATGCTGATATAAGCAGGATATATATGGTGTGTTGCTTGATTCACTGATATTCCAAGTTCCATTGTGTTCCACTTTCTTTTTTCTTTTCCCTCTTCCACCCCCCTTTTTTGTAGTCATTGTGAATTGCAGATTAATTTCAGCTTCAGTTTGTACAAAGAATGTAAGCAAGTGAAGTGCAAGACCAAAAGAACAGATGTGTCATCTTGTCACTTTCATTAGGCTTTCCCTTGGGGACATTATCATTCTCAGATGTTTCCAATAACCACATCTATCACAGGAGAATTTCCCCTGGCATCTGTAGACCATGGAAAGCAGTAACCAATGACGCCCCCCAATTAGAGCCAAAACTAGAAAATGGGCACATGTATGCAAGTTTTTGGATTTGTTTTATACTGTAAATGCATACAACTATTCATCGGATGTGTTGCTGTGTGTATTCCTTCTGCTACAGTGCACTGCAAAGGCATTTCTAAGTGAAATGCAGTGACTGAATACAAGTTGATTTTCTGTTATGTGCACAAGAACATGAGAAGAGCCTGCTGGATCAGGCCAATGGCCCTTCTACTCCAGCATCCTGTTCTCACAGTGATCAACCAGATGCCAGGGGAAAACATGCAAGCAGCGCCTCAGCACAAGAACCAGCGCCAGATTTATATACGGGCTGAGCAGGCTGCAGCCCAGGGCCGCATAAACTGGGGGGGGGGCAGATTTATCTAGGCCCAGTTGCTTAGTAACATTAAACACTTGAGGTATGAGTCTATGACAGTTACACTAGCATGTTTAGTAAAGTTCGTGGAGGCTTTATCATTTGATCCTGAGCAGCTTTAAAGTCAGCAATGAAGCATTACAAGAGTTCAGATCACTGTCTATCATTATATCATGCATTTTGAGAACACATGAGGATGCTTTTATATCACTGTGAATCACAATATTTAATTTTGACTTTTTGTGAAAATGGTGAATAAACGATATGGAGGTGGTACTGGTAAAAGAAAGCGGAAAAAATAACAGAAAGAAATACTCAAAAGTTTAAAGCCAATCACGTCATATGGTTTGTACAGCAGGCAGAAACAGCCCTACATAAACCCTCAGATACAATACATTTATGTTTACAAAAAGAAGAAAATCAAGTACCGTAACTAGAATGACCAGTCTGAGCAGACCGTAGAACAACCAGTTTATATACAGAATGCAGCCTCCCAAGAACTTCACAGAGAACTGTTGTCAGTAACTACCTCTACAAGTAAAGAAACTTCTGGAGAAAAGTGTGAATGAAATGACAGGACCTACAGCCAAAGAATTAACACAAGGCGTTGAAGAAACATGCCACGAGACAGTTACACCAAAAGAAGCAGTTCAAGCGCATTACTGTCTTAAAGAATTGGAAAGCAAAGCAGATGATCTCAGCAAAAAACCTTGCATTACAGACACAAAAATACCAACTGCACATGCTACTAGTGATTTCAGAGAAATCAGGTTTGCAGTTCACATCAAATAACAAGGAAATATCATTCTGGATTGAGAAAGTTCCATTGGAATGTCAGCACTCAGGTGCAGCTTTTACCACTTTGAAATAAACATGCAAAAACCAAGCCTGGTTCTGTTCAAATAATTTATTCTATTCCACCAAAGTAAATGGAGAAACCAACCCTCAATAATGGCTAGTGTATTCTCCAAAAGAAGGAAAAGTCTCCTGTTTTGGTGCAAACGTTTCTGTAACCAAACTACCTCAACTACAGCTTTAGTTTCTATTGGATTTAATGATTGACATCACACTTTTCTTTTTCAAACCCACAGAAATTCTAAAAATCATATGAACTCTCTGCTAACATACGTAACAATAAAGTGTGGTCAAATGCTCACATCAAAACTCTGACAGCAAATCAAAGCAGAGCAGGATTACTGGAGGCACGTACTTCAGCGAGTTATTGCAGTGATTTCCCTTTTGGCAGAATGTGGCTTGGCATTTAGGGGAGACAATGAAATATTTGGTTCACCAAGCAATGGTAATGTTCTTGGATTGCTTGAATTAATTGCCAGAGCTGATCCCTTCCTGTGTGCTCACATAAATCAGTATGGAGGTAAAGGCTCTGGTCAGTCATCATGCTTATGCAAAACCATATGTGAAGAGGTTATCCAGTTGATGGTTAATACAGTTCGAGAAGCAATACTGAATGACATCAAATAGGCGAGTTATTTTAGTTTATCAGACAGTTCAACCCCTGATGTTTCCTATATTGATCAACTTACTGTCATTGTTAGATATGCTTCTCCTAGTGATGGATTTCACTGTTACAGGCCCCCACTCCATTATTATGTTCTATTTCCATGTCCGCCAAGGAAAACGTACAAGAGAGCTGAGCTGTAATTGGGTACCAGGGCATCCAGTTCTAACATTAAATATCACCAGAAGATGTAGCTCTATCAACCTCACATATTCTTCCTGTAACTGTTTAATCTTATGTGTTGTCTATGTGCTTCCCACCTCATCTGAAACCCATTACTTCATGATCTGTTCTTAATGACTAATACAAATAATTGGACCTTGCCCTTTTTAAAAAAGTTAGTGGTACATTCACTTATGTCTCTACCCACAGTAGTATTTCTGAAGGCTCAGTGTGATTCGCTCGCTGAGATTTCAAAGATGTTGGATGGATGACTCGTTCTTCTAAATTTGTGTAGTTCTATGTTATTAAAATGCAATGCCCAAATTAAACATTTAATAATTCTGTAATGAGAATGAAAAGTCCATAATTATTTGTGTTGGCTAGCAAATCTACTGGAAGGTTGCTTCAAAAGCAAAACAAAAGGAAAGGAAAGGAAAGGAAAGGGAAAGGTCAGTCCCAACAAACAAACAAAGGAGCAGGAATACCAAGAAACTGCCCCAGCTAAATAACAGCATAATCACAGAGCTATTAATTACAGACCTTATTCTATATTGAATGGTAGTGGAAAACATAATTTTGTTGTTTTTGCAGTTATAACAATATGAAGAATGCATAGAAGAAAAGCTACACCTTTGTAAATGCCATAACTGGAGTCTATCAAACAGAGTAGTTGGGCACTCTTGAACTGAACCTGAGAGCCTATTTCACTCTTTGCTTTAATCATGGGCATTTATTTTGCAGAACATACCAACACAATTTCATACTGCAATTAAATTTAAAAAGTTAAGAGATCTGGCAATTTCTATAAGTCTGGAATTAAAAATGTAAAACATTTACAAAATAAAGTAAAAGATAATAGCCATCTCAGTTGTCGCAGAAAGTGAGTCTCGTCCAAGAAAGGGAAAATGTAATGTACTCTCAGTAAGTGCTCCAATCAATTAGTGCATAAATACACATCGAACAAAATTACAGCAGAAACCACTGTGATATCTACTTTAAGTAATGTACTGGGATAAAAGGGCTTCCAAGATTTTAAACTTCAATGTACAGCAAAACCAAGAAAACTATTTCTGAGTCCTGACCAGCATTTGGTAACAGGGTGATCAGATGAGAACAGGATTCCAGCATTAACAGTGGTTTAGAAGAGGGAATTGCAGCAGATGTAGCTTATCATTCAAAAATTCCCTCTTCTATACAGTGAGAGATGCAAATAGTCCTGTACTCTCTACACCCTTCCTAGTAGGAATGGCTAGCAAGTCATAGTCATGAGCATTCTTTAACACAGGGATGGCTAATTTGCAGCCCTCCAGCTCCTATCATTCCTGACTATTGCCCATGCTATCTGAGAGTTGAAGGGAGATAGAGCTCAGCAACATCTGGAGGAACACAAATTAGACTCCCTTGCTTTCAGACCATCTGAGGGTCACAATTCAAGAATTGAGATATGCCCCCTGCAATGACTGATAAACAACATCCCATACACATTGTAAGTAAATCTAATTCTAAATTGTCTTTCAGAATGTAAGGATGTACTTGTACTATTCAGGACTCTCTTTGCAAGTCTTTTGCCTCAAAGTCTGTTCAGTTGTATGTTTGTGATCTTTATCAAACAATAATAATACCCATCAGTTTGGGGACTTTGCCCATCAAAATGTCATGTATCCACCTCCTGCTTTCTCCTTTTGAAAGCTTTGCTTTTTTATTATCATCCTTCCCTAGGTCCTTTTGTTTACCCCTCTCTAAGATCAAGCTGTGGTGAAAAGTTCAAAGAAAGAAAGTGCTCCCCCATACCCTTTGCATTTGCACAGGATAAGGAATTTGGGCTGCCGCAGCTTCTCATGCAGATGTGAAAAAAGCTGCTCTTGGTTAGTTTCCCTCCTCTGCACAACTATTGAAGTGACGGAAACCGAGGGCAGGACTCCAATAGGAAAGGCTTCGCCAGTGGCACCCAGAAGTCCTTCTGCCAACTACATTCCTCTGGGATATTAAAGCAGTGGCTTCACTGCCATCAGTGCTGCCACCACAAAATTACTTAATGTGTGTGTAACATAGAGCAGCAGCAGTGAGCCAGCACAGATATCACACAGGATCCCTCATTATCTTGGCTAAAGGCAAGCTGTAGGGCCAAACTTTCCCTTCCCTTCCCCAAACCTCTGCCCTTTCAAGAGTAAATAGATTATTCCCTCCCACCTTAAGGGAAGCACTGGCAACAAGTTTTAACTGCAGTTAGCATTAACTGGGGTTCACATGTGAAACCAACGTTAGATTATGTTCAAATCTCATAGTAACCTCCATCAAAAAGTGGAGCCAGCTTTATACCTTGATGCAGGGAAAGGGGGATTTACTCCACAATTCTACAGCAGGCTCACACAGGCTGCAGTTCTAATCCCACACACATAGGAGTTTACTTCAAAGTAGATTGGTTAAGACTGCAGGCACTGTTGCTTAGCTATTCTTCATGCAGCATCCCAGTGTCAATAAAAGGTGCTAACAGGAACTGAAAGACTATGCTAGGCTTCCTCAACCTCAGCCCTCCAGATGTTTTGAGATTGCACTTCCCATCATCCCTGACCACTGGTCCTGCTAGCTAGGGATCATGGGAGTTGTAGGCCAAAAACATCTGGAGGGCCGAGGTTGAGGAAGCCTGGACTATGCTATGGTGTATGGTGCTTTTGTGGGGGTGGAGTTTCTGTATTAATATCCTATCTCATATGTCCAAGGCCAAATCCTAGCACTGAGAACAATGTATGAAGCTTACCCAAATAACTTTCATGATAAAATTTGTCATGTAAGTCCCAACCTTCTGCCCTGCTTCCCCCTCCCCACCCCTGTGCCACATCTCTTAGTTACATGGAATACCAGATGAGGGAAAGTATGACAAATGAAAGCAATACACCAATTCTGCAGTATTTTTCAACCAATCTGGCAGTGGAACCTACATTAAGGGAAATACTTCTAACAGCTTCTCAGGATAGAACTTATCTTTACTCAGAACCATTTCAGCCTAACTGATTTTTATCTGCACACTATTAGCTGAGCTATTTAACCCCTAATAGTTGACACAGCATATTACAAGCAGTGACATATTAAAGACATGTAAGTTGAGTGGGGCACTTGCAAGAGACAGGGTTGGCCAAGTGGTTGTTAACTCAGGTCCTACCGGGGTTAATAGCAACTCTAATTTATATTAATAGGTATCAACTACTCAGTATTAAATTAGGGACGTGGGTGGCACTGTGGGTTAAACCACAGAGCCTAGGGCTTGCAGATCAGAAGGCTGGCAGTTTGAATCCCCACGACGGGGTGAGCTTCCATTGCTCAGTCCCTGCTCCTGCCAACCTAGCAGTTTGAAAGCATGAAGTGCAAGTAGATAAACAGGTACCACTCTGGTGGGAAGGTAAACGCATTTCCATGTGCTGCTCTGGTTCGCCAGAAGCAGCTTAGTCATGCTGACCACATGACCCGGAAGCTATACGCCGGCTCCCTCGGCCAGTAAAGCAAGATGAGCGCCGCAACCCCAGAGTCATCTGCGACTGGACCTAATGGTCAGGGGTCCCTTTACCTTTTTACTCAGTACTAAACAATGTTTATTAACTAACTTTCAAAAATCAATAGCTTTGAAAAATGAATTAAGTCAAACGGAATAAAACTCACTGCAAAAATACACTAATCTTTGCAAGGTTTTTGCAATATTTTTAGCATGCAGCCCGCTGGAGAGAGGGCAAATGGGGGTTTAAAATGCAGACTTTCCATATGGCACTGCAAGCACACTAACACCTGGGACATGAAGCCGTGATGCCAATGCAGTCACAGAGGGGTCCAAACAGCAAATGGATACTGGATTCCTTATTGTTACTGTTTAAACCAACAATTAGCTTTCAAACTCTGTGAATTCCATTTTAAACTAATGCTGCTATCCTTTCCACACTCACACATTGAGCACATTGAGCTCGAAGGGACTTCTTTCTGAGTAAGCATGTGCAGGGTGGGACTGCAAATTTTAACAATAGAAAGGGAAGGATTACCAGCACACACTGGTTTCCTGTTTTATCAGTGATCTCACCTTTAGCAGTGGGGAGAGCGCAATGTGTCTGTGCAAATAAATGGGGTACAAGGCACCTGCATTTAACTGAGCAGTGGCTTTGAGTTGTGGGATGAGTGGGTAATGGAGGTGGCAATTTAACTAGATTCATCTTTCCTGCAGCCCAAGATTTTTTGTGGATTATTTTTTTTTTGCTGAACTTCCCTGTTTTCAACATGCATATGCAATAACTTTTACACTGCAAGCCTGGTCATAGCTACTCAGAAGTAAGTTCTATTGAATTCAGCAGGGCTTACTCCTAGGTAAAGGGTTTAGGGTTGCAGCCTGACATACAACCAGCCGCCTAATCTCAAATGACTACTCAACAGCAATGACAGGTGGCCTAAAAGAGACAGAATCCAAGGATTAGGCCCTGCAAATACCCAGATGCCAGCTAATAACCTAACAATATGCAACCAAGAGTTCATTGACCTGCTCACCCACCAACATGATCTATCCATCACAGCCCAACCAAACTTTCTGCTGTCTAAAAAGGGCAAACAGTCCCGGTGCAAATGTGTCCCAATGGTTACAAATTTGCCATCAAAATACAACATTCAGATACATGCTAACAAAAGTTTAGGCCTTTCAAAGAGAGGTTACAGTGTGAAACCGAAGAAATAGAATGTATCGGTAAGTTTGACTGTTGCTTTCAGCTAATCAAGACCAAAATTCTCTCTTCCAGTACAGACCTTAAATTAGCACAGCAAACCCAGGAATATTGTTATTGTCAATGGCAGCTCTTGTGAATGAAGTCAATCCTTTCCTAATATACATCTGAACTTTGCAGAGAAAAATCACAGACTTTATCTCTTGAATTTCATGGCCTTCTACAATTTTTCTCTCAGCCCATGGAAGTGCATGTTTGTAAATATATATATAGTTGTATATATTAAAGCTGTATATACTACCGTGACCACAATATCTGGAAGAAGTCTGATCTGTTATGTGGCATTCCAATTTTATTATTTGGGTCCAAAACTCAGAAAAGAATCACAACTCAAGAACAAGTCTGTTTATTTACTTCAACATCCCACCTCCAAATCACTGTGGTTTGAGTTGCATTGGAAAATAATTCACTGAGATTAAAAGCTAGAACTGTTCCCCAAAACAAAATATCTCTCAACTGCCTCCCCTCTGGAGCTCTGGGTGTTTCCAAAGACACTTTGGTTTTGTTTCTCAGAAAAGAGACAGGGGAAAGTTTACATGTGTAACTTTTTGGAAAAACAGATGCCTCGTGGTGATTCCAAAGCTTAGGGGATAGCTCATCTCCACTGAGACACCTTATTCACAGTAAGTTCATGCCCCAAATCATCCTGATTTGCCTTGTTTTTCACTGTGTGTGTGTCAAACACACACATACACCCAGAATAACACTTAAATGTTTCCGCCAATACCTTATGCCATGGTAAAGTTCTTAGTCCAGACATAGGAAACCTGTGGCCTTTCAGATGTTGCTGTGCTACAGCTGATATCATCCCTGACTATTGGCTATGCTGGTTGGGGTTCATGGGAGTCAGATTCCATCTATGCTAAAGAAGCTGTAAGACTTTTTTTGGTATTTGTTCATGATTGCATACAAACCATACATTTGAAGCACATGACTTTCCCCAAAGAATCTTGGGAACTCTAGTTTGTTAAGGGTGCTAGGAATTGTACCTTGGGGGGACAGTTCCCAGGATTATTTGGGGCAAGCAATCAGCTTTAAATATATGGTGTGTACACAGTCAATATCTTATGTAATTGTTCCACTGTCTGCCTGTATCTTGATAAAATGTGTGTGTTGTTCAGTATCATAGTGCAGAACTGTACTGGTGACATTGTATTTCACTAATAAAAATCAAATAGGTGACAGTTCTTCAAGCATTTATTAGATAATTGTTTATCAACCTCAGGCCCCATGTGAAAAGTGCAAGTAGGTTCTTGTAAGTCCCCACCCCATTCTGCGATATCAACAGTGGACTACATTACAAGGCTGTCATAGTATCTCTATTATTAAAAGTGGTTATTAAAAGTGGATCATATTAAATTAGATTAGATTACAAGGTTCACATAAACCCATCAGTCTTGTACTTACCCCATCCCCACCCCCCAACATGCAGTATGGGGATGTTAAACTACCCCATAATTCAAGGTTGCCATAAGCTCATAGCTCAGCATCAGCCCCTCACACCTCATAACATGGTATCTCTTTCTCATTTGCTGCCTCTCTGTTATATGAGAACATTAATATTGGTTTCCTTCTTCCCTCTTAGTATAGCATTTGCAGAGCAATTTTGATTGGGGCAGGGGTGGAATCTTCATCACATTTTCCCCACACAGGACCTGAGTTTGGAAAAATCATTAACTTCTGTTTTTGCTTATTCTATATATAGGCAGTGAAGGGGGTGCACTCTGCTGCCAAATCACTGCAACACGATCCTAAGAGAAACCTACCACATCTACCCTTCTAACAAAAGAAATCTATGGCATCAAAAATAACTAGGAATTTCAGTTTTCATAGAAAGAAACTGTCAGTCAAGAACTTCCTTGTGTTTATGCTTTTCATTCCTAGTAAGCATTAAGCGGTACTCCTCTTAATGCTTACTACAGAAATAAATATTAACATGTTTATTCTATACAAACTGTAGGTAGAAAAGATCAGAAATTGAGCTGTTATATAGAACCAGGGTGTTTCTCACTGTGCATCCTAATCCTATAACTTTTATTGCCATTGTACATAGGAAAACAGCTGAACAGCCCTACATATGTTTGCATTGTTGTGTGCACATGTTTACTTGAAAGTAAGTCTCACTTGTGAGTTCAATAGGATCTACTCCCAATGTAAACATGCATAGGTTTGCATCCTTAGTTGCATAGTTTGGAGTCAGATTTCTCTTTCAAATCACAGCCTCCTCTCCTTTCTTTGAGAGAAAAGTAGTTAAAATGACCATTTGTGCACTGTAGCAAGTCTTCCCCAGTTGAGTTGGCACTTCCCCTGAAATAGTTACTCGTGTATATGAAATGGAAATAAGATTTACCTTTCTTCCATAGTCCATGAACATTTCCTACTGAAGTCTGCGTTGCAGACAAATGATCAGAGCAAACTGTTTCCTGTTTGCTTTTAATACAATGCTGGAGAGCTGCTTACAAGAGGTCCATTGTTACAAAAACAGAAAGACTAGAATAATCAGAAGGAATATTTGAGCAAATATTAATTATGAAACACAGGGTTTCCATACAAGAAACTGCCCGTATCTGTAGCAACTTTCAGCATAAGATATCTAGGAAATAGATTGTAACAAGCTAATGGATGGTACCAAACTGTTCTTTAAGTAGAGGGAAACATTACAAATATTTAACAGCTTTTACTGACACTCCTAACAACCATTGTGTGTGTGTGTGTGTGTATCTATATCTATATCTATCTATCTATCTATATATATATATATATCACACACAGAGGAAATCAAAATAATCCTCTATGGCACATTGGAGTTGGAGATTGTGACTTGCCCCCAACAACCTAATGTGAACAATATTGTATCTGTTGCACCTGAAGACTGAATTATGGCAGGTTGTTTTGGGGTTTTTTTAAGGTTTTGCATAAGCATGTGGAACCACAAGGAAATATTATTAACGCAGAAGCCAGGATAATGTATTTCCCAGTGCAAGTGATGCCCTTCAAAGATAATCATTTAGGCCACAATAACATTTGCCACCCTCATAAAACCTAATGTCTTGGTTTTTTTCATTTCCCAACAATTATTGCAGGAGGTTGGACGAGGTGACCCTCGTGGTCCCTTCCAACTCTATAATTATATGATTCTATTTCATTTATTATTGGTGACAATGGAGCTTCATACACACATTTTTTTATACAGCTATTCCACAAGTTACATGAAATCACTTATTAAAATTTAATAAGTTTTGGGAGAAAGTAGTTTATTATATAAATATGACTGTGTGGGGAAAAAATACATTTTTCAGAGGAAAATATTTTGAACTACATGCCTACTATATAGAATTTGACAACTGGAAAATGTAAATGGATTCTTCATGCCCTTACTATGGCCAAAAGACTACTGGTGCACTGAATGAGTAAGTGTACAACTCCATTTAATCAATGAATTGAAGCTATGACTACACTTGCAACTTATGAAGGGATTGCTTATAGACGTAGACTTTGCATGGACAAGTATAGTGACATCTGGAATGCATTTATACAAAATATAGTGGGATATATATATACATGGATGATAATAATAATAATATGTATACTTTAGATAATAATATATGGAATTGTAATTGTTAGATTTTATAATGTATTTTTATTTTTATTTAGTTCAATTTAAAAAAACAAGTTATAGGAAATCACAACCAGGCCTGGATTTTTGAAATGGTAGCTCTAAGCCATGGGCAAGGGCATCTGGTCCTTCAGATGCTGCTGGACTACAGCTCACATCATCCCTGAACACTGGTGATGCTAGCTGGGCCTGATGGGAGTTGGAACCCAACAACATCCGGATACTCACAGGCTCCCTATCCCTGAATGAAGCAAAACTAAAAGAAATGAATTTTGAGTCAGAGAATATAAAATTAGTTCCACTGGCATTGCTATTGGCTTTTTCCTTTTAGGTCAGGAATCCAACTTCCCTGTCTTTTTTAAAAATTCCACCTGTTACAGATACAGGGTGAGCATCCATTGTTAACCTGATAGCTTGTTAAGGTCAGGAGAAGCAGCTGTTACTGCATCAATGGAAAACAATAAAAAGAGACGGTGATGATGATGATGGTGATGATGATTTATCTATACCCCACCTATCTGGCTGGGGTGACTTCCTGATACCTGGAAATCTCTCTCTAGGTTTTGAAATGTGATGCTATAAGAGTTTAGGATGATAACACCCTGCATATAGTGTATGGGGCAGAGAAATGATTTGGAGACAGGTTAAAATTAGTTTAAACAGGAGGGAAAAGGAGATTTTTAAGAGCTGTGAGTTAACTTGGGTGAAAGAACTCTCTCTGGAAATGTGATGTACAGATATTGGGGAGCTGACTGCTGCTTTTAGGAGTTGGCCTGGTTCCAATAGCTTCTGCTTGTAAGTAAAAGCAAACCAACAAAGAATTTTCATCCAAGGGAAACAAAACTCTATCGTATTTCCTGAGATGATGTGACTAGCATGGGCATCATTCCTAAACATCCATGGTTACAACTGACCATTTTGTATGTTTTCTGGAAATCTGTTGTGTTTTCCTTTATTAACTACATGAGCTAGCATAATTTAAAATCTATCCTTAAACTTGACTTTGATACCAAGCAGAAACATAAAACATTCACACCATTAATTGTACTACAAATTGAATACGTACAAATTTTATAAGGCTTTGCTTTAAAAGCACAAGCTCTTATGGGGCAGTGATGGATTCAACATGATCCACAGCTTCTAATTTTCTTGACTGGACCAAAAATGCCAGAAGATTTTTCCTCTAACAATTAAAACAAAAGGATGTGTATGCATTCCCCATATCCTGAGTTGCTTGTTAGTGCTGCAGGAGCGAAGGGGTGTCACTGGATATTTCCCCAAACGTATTGCTTCCCTAGTAACAAGTCATGTGCTCTCCATCCCCCCTCTACCTTATTGCCAAGGGTCAAAAAACCAAGAGTTTATGTCTAAGAAGAATTGTACTTCAGGGCTGCCCACAATACAACTTCTAACAAGTACTGCCATGCATGCGCCTGCACTTCTTGCACACTGTGCAGGTTGAGTATGTGCAACCAACCCAGGTCTGCTTGCATCAGATATGCAATGACTCCCACAAATCAGTGCTGCTGCAGAGAGTCGTGAGGACTCCTGCTATAAAGTAAAAGGAAAGGGAAATGAAGAAAAGCTTGCAAGAAAGTAAAATCTCACAGTTCAGCATGGACCGAAGAGTGCTGTTATTTCCTCATCAATGAAGTCCTGATCATGAAGACAGCCAATGGTTTCAACATCCCTCTGCCTGGTCTCTTGAGTCCACGATCATCCCAGGGAGCAAGCAAGGAGCTCAGACAGCAGACTCCCCTGAACTTCACTGTTCCAGTGACTGAAGAAGCCTCTGCTCACATTCACAGCCTGCTAGCAGGTGGAGCCGTTTGCCTGGGCTGCGGCCAGCTCACTCGGTCTCACTGAGCAGAGGCGGATTAGCCGGCAGCCGCTTTCCTCTTTATAGAGGCGATAAAGAAATGAAGCAATCCGGACAAAGGCACGAGAGGGGAACTGTGCCGCTCAGGTTGCTGACAGAGTTTTTCCCCGGCTGCTAGATGGGCAGGTTGAGTCTGATGCGAGTCCGGAGGTGAAATGCCAAGGACAGGCAGCTCTGGATATGGGAGAGGAGTGGGGTGGGAAGGCAGAAGCCGGGGGTGCAGATTTGGACAGCTGAGGCAGGCCGCATACCTGCCTCATTACTGTATTTCAGATGAATTGATCCAGTCTAAGGGATCACTGCCCTCGTCCCCTACTCACAAGTCAGAGGGATTCGAATTACTGCCATCCTCGTGTATAACATGAAATCAAATGCTGTGAATGTTTTCTACTACTATTTAGCCATCCCTCAAACGGGGGAGAATGTGTTTTAGCTAGTCAGCGTTAGTCGTTAAGGCGCTATAGGGTATTTTGTTGCTTTTAATCAGCATTAAATGTGTATAAGAGGGAGAGGGGAGTGGGAGTGGTAAGTGTGCACAGAAGGATGGAGCGCACGAGTGTGTGTGTGTGTGTGAGAGAGAGAGAGAGAGAGAGAGAGCGAGAGAGCGCACAGTTCTGAGGAAGCAGTTTGGGAACGCGACGCGTGTGCGCTGCTACCGCCTTGCGATCCCCTTGAGGTATGGCAGTCGGTGGCGCAGCACGCGCTGCAGGGAGCGGACTCCGCGCAGGCCCTGAAGGAGGCGGGAAAGGTCAGGTGTGGAAGGAAACGAGTTCTGATTAATCACTCTCACCTTCTTCTGAAGGATTTGCGGGCGCCTCAGCAGCGTGTAATAAATGTGAAGGTATGATTAAGATACTGTTGGCAGGTAAGGCACGGCTATAATCGATACAGGAAAAAGAAACGAGGAGTTGGTGGACCTTACGAAGTGGAAACGCGCGCGCGCAAGACAATAGCGTGAGGGGACGAAACCCAAGAGCGGGAAGGGGAAGAAGCCCCTCGGGGAGACTCTGGTCGTCGCCACAGGAAGGCCTGGCACTGCGAACGTGCCCAGCCGCAACAGCGCTGCCTGGAGGGGCCGTCGCCCTACTGCGGCTGACACGCGCCTGCGCGCGCTCTCCCGCCAGGCACGTGCCTCCAGCGGCAACAGGCGGGGCGAGCAGAGGCGCGCGGCGCGCAGGCAGGTTCGGCCCGGGGCTCGTGGCGGGTCGCGAGCGCCTGCTTGCCGGCCGGGCCTGGACGAAAGAGGTTGGGCGAGGCCAGGTCTGTCAGGACAGAAATTTATCGCCTTGGGGTAGACGGGGAGAGAGGAACGGGAACGACGGCAAAGAGGCCTCGCTTGGTCCGCCTCGTCTGGGAAAGGAAAAGCGAGCCTCCTGGGCGAGAGGGAAGCCGCGCGTGGCCGCCAGTCCGCAAAAGGCGCCCGCTGTGTGGCTTTGCGGGTCTCTTCGGGGTATTTATACGCGTGCGCTGCCTCCAATGAGTATCCAGCTGCAATCCTATATGCACAATTGCCCGGGAGTAAGTTCTGCTGAACTCGGCGGCCCATACTTCGGAGCAGGCACGTTGAGGAAAGCACGCACTGCAGTGGCCAAGGCTGTCTCGCGAGCTTCCTCACTAGGATGCGACGGAGCCCATCAGCTACAGAACCACAATATCCCAAGGAGGGACAAGGATGTAAGATGGGGCATGGAATGCAGGTCATCGTACCCGACAAGTTGTGTGTGTGTGTGTAAGCTCTACATGTTAACATTTCCCCTAGATGCTGGTTATCTCTGTCAGAAAATGTTGACATGTGAAGTGGACCTTACAACTCCATAGCTAACTGAGAATTTTTGATAGACAATAGTTCCCAGTGTATATATATTGATATTAGTTGCGGGGAGTTGAGTCCGCTAAAAGTCCTGGGTACCAATAATTTCTTAAATTAGTAAATGTAGATTACTAAATGCTTGAAGTCTTCACCCAGGTGTGAGACAGTTTAGCAGTGTAGAAATGCAGGCTGAATCAGTTTCCTAGCCAGGAATTACCGGTACCTGGGGAGAAGAACCATAATGCAGTAAACGGAAGGCAATGCGTGACTGACACAAACAGTTACCCTACGCTGAAGCAGAAGAGTATGAGCCCTTCCTCCCGTGAGGGGATGGGGCACAGATACAATGGCCAAGTTTAGGATTTCAGTGTTTGATGATGTAAGCTGGGAGGGGGAGTTCCAAGTGCACAGTGATGGTAGCTGAAGGGAAAATTGTAGCCTTTTTTTTTTTTTAAGAGGCCTTTTAAAATTTGAAAAGCCAGGCAGGAGGAGAACTTTGAGCAGGCTGGCAGAGGCAAGCTGGAAGAGATAGACAGAGGTGGTGCTTTGGGTGCCTTTTAATCCAATGTGGTGCTCCTGCAGGAAGCAAGCCCCTCCTGAGGTGTGAATGCTGGAAACTCCTTCAGTAGTAGACTCAGGTGTAAATAAACCATATTTCATAAATACACTACAGCCTCCGTTATGCCTCCTTTCCAAAGGAAACACAAACCCCGGTTAAGTGCCAGGACTCCTAAAATCTTGTGCACCGCTCAGGAAAGACTGGGTTGGCCGGTAACAATATATATACACTCTGACTGCTCCTACATAAACTAAAATGTATGTGTGTCAGCATCACATATTTTAATTTAAACATTATTTTAATGGTTCTTTCATTATGGGAAAATATGAAGGTCATTACTGTGATTTTTAGCGTTGCAGTTAAAAGGTACGGGAAGCAGATGCAACAATAGTCACTATTTTCCTATTTTTCTTTTAATTTCTGTGCACTTTTTTGTGCTATCTATGTGTGATTTTTTGTGTGATACTGTTTGTGATATGCATTGCTGTACTAATCCTGCAGCACAGAACTCTGCATGTTCACATGCAAATAAATCCTACGGAGTCCAATAGGGATTACTACCAAGTGTGCAGAGGATTGCAGCCCTGATTTCTAAAATGAGAGCTGCTACAGCTCAAACTTCCCTGAAAGATACATCCATTTGGTATGTATCTTTATACAGGTTATCTGGGGCTTTTGTCTGAAGACCACTTCACAGATGGGGTTTTTCTGATATAGAAATAATTTGCATCTACTGAAAAAAATGTGTAGACCCAAAGAATTCACAAGTATCAATTTTTCAGTTTTTGGAAGCTGCTTGCACTGTGACTTCCCAACATGTCGAAACACGGCAAACTAAACAAACTAAACAAGTAGTTTATACAATATGTATAAATGGGTGCCAGAGATTGTGTGGTGGTTACTACATTGATATCTCTGCATAGAAAAAATGTCCTGTAACAACTTCCAGTAATCACTGTAAAAATGCTGCAGATTCAAAGGCAATTACGTCACATATTTCAAACCTGGCCTTGGCATTAAATAGCTATTATATTTACATATGGTCACTTCAGGAGTTAATCATCTTCATCTATGAGTGCATGTATCAGTGTACATTTCTTTTTGTGTCTTCTTCTGTCAGTATGCAAGAGTAGATTCATGATAATGTTGCATGATGTGTATTCCATATTTTCATCTACCTATCGTGGTTGGTATGTTCTTTATCTATATGGTGAATATGTCCCAGGAATAATGTGTGTGTATACATCTGAATGTATATGTATCACATTGTGTTTGTTTATTCTACATAACATCTGAAGTTTATGCCTATCAATATGTGTATGCTAGTATCTCTCACTGTGAATGAATAGGTAATTATGCTGTCATTTTTAATGCAGTCACAGCTAACTAGGGTCACACCTCCCACCTTGACCTTCCACAGATATCTGCCACTCCTTTGCCATTGCTTTACCATTCACTTCCTAATCTGCCTGCCCATCTTCTGTCACCAGTCAGACTTTGTACAAGTTAGTTCGTAATTTTACTGCAGTCCTAACCCCATCTGTTTTCCATAACATGTTGCAATGGCATCCAACTTGGGCTGCTTTAACAGGAAAGTAGACAAATTCATGGAGGATAAGGCTATCAGTGGCTATTAGTCCCAATAATGGCATTCATAGTTCAGGTATCAGCCTCTGTATGCCTGTGAATGCAAACTTTGGGGGATCATGAGTGGGAAAGTGAAGTTGCATTAATGTCCTGCTTGTGGGATTAGCATAGGCACCTGATTGGCCGCTGTGGGAATACACTTTTGGACAAGCTGGGACTTTAGTCTGATTCAGCAGAGCTCTTATGTTTTGAAGCCTCTTTGAAGTTCACCAACCCACATACCAAATTAACAGCAGGCATCCAATGAATTGGAATGGGAAAAGAACGAAGGTCCAGATTATTAACCAGATTATTCCAGATTCAAGGATAGAAGTGGCTTTGTATGCCTTTCCCACATAGCCAAGTTGCCCAAGCTATTTGGGAACCATACTGTGATTTGAGAGGCCTACATTTTGTTGGATGTATTCTGTTGTTGGTTGATTGTACTACTTGTACACTGATTCAAGCAAGAGAAGTAGCAAATAGTGGTGGCATGAAGTAGAATAGATTAAAGAGGTGGCTGAAAATACATTTAATCAATGTTTGAAGAGAACTGAAGAAGTCGAACTGTGCACCTGAGTATAGAAGACCTGGAGCTGCTGCTCCCCTTCCCTTGTTTGGACTTCCCTATGTTTGGACTGCTTTGGAACTGGAGAATTTAGAGGCTAATGGCATTTTCACAGATGAGGCTCTGGATACCTTTAAATCGGATTCCTTCCAATGCATCATTTGTGAGCATTATTAAAGCAAAGCAGGAGAGAATCCTAGTGAGTGACATTAGCTCTCATGATGCACAATTTGCATTTCAGCCTTCCTGTCCTATTTGCCTGAATAGGTGATTGCTACTGATGGAGATAGAAAGCAGGAAAGGCCAGTTTTAAAACTGTGGGTCCATTCCAGTTTGTGAAGATGTGGGGAAAGGTGCATTAAGTGTCCTGTGACCACTGCAACCTGCATTCTAATCATATATAGGGATATTTTCACACGTGAAGCTTAAATGAGTTTGCATTGAGTCTAAAACTCAGACCTTGGTAAGAATGTGCATCCAGTTTCCTTTCTGCGTTCTAAACTTCTCACGCCACATTCACTTCCTATGACACAAATAATAGGAGAGAGCTCCAAACTATATTTTAAGCGCCTCATCGAAACGTCTACATTCGTGCATTGGAATGACGAGCGAAACGCAACCGAGAATCACTGGAGAACCGAAGGAGCAGCTCAGGTGCATCGAGGAAAGTTCTCCGCAAGGCAAGCGCATCGCTCGAGGCCACCCATCCGCCGCCCGGCGCGGCGGCCACTGCGCGGGATCTCCGCAGCGCTGCCCAGCCCCGCCTGCATGCCCCATGCGCGGCCTGCACGCCCTCGAGCAAAAGACGAAAAGCTCGCGGGATCCTTCCCGGGGCGTGCTGCGCTCTCAAGTCCGCGCCCTGCGCTCCGCAGCGATCCTAAGGAAGGGATCTCTCCGTAGTCGAGGTGCCCCCGGCGAAGGGGGCGTGGGAAAGGCAGCCGGCGCTTCTACGATCCCGCCAAGCGCTCGGCAGTCCGCTCCGTCCCGCCAGCCGCGAACGCTTCTTGGCGGGAAAGCCCGAAGGGCGGGACGAGGGCACGGGTCCAACCCCGGTCCCCTGGCGCCGAAGCAGTGCCGCAAGGCAGGGGAGGAGGGAAGGAGGCGCCGGCAGCAGCAGCCCCGCGAGCAGCGCGCACACCTGCCCGAGCGGAGGGAGGGAGCCCCGCCCTTTCCGAGGCAGCTAGCCACGCCCCCTCTGCCCCGGCACGCGGGCCCCGCCCCTCGCGCACACGCCCGCCCGCGCTCTCTCCCCGCGCAGGTAAACTTTCGACTCCCACTCGCGGCGAGGGGGACGCAGGCCGATGTCACCGAGATCCTGCGCTATTTATAGACGCGCCAGGCAAACGTGGCGGGAAGGGGATCCTCCCTCGCCCCCGCCCTTCCCTCCCTCGCCACCAAGGGCCGCCCGCCTCGCGGGAGAAGAGCGCCGGAGGAGCCGGGCGCTCCGTCTCCTGGCCCCGCCGCCCGCCTGCCCAACGCTCCCGGGGGACCGAGGAGGAGGAGGAGGAGGAAGGAGCCTCCGCTCCCCTCGGGGGCGCCAAGAGGCGCGGCAGCCTCCGCCGCCCGCCTCACCCCCGCGCGGTCCTTCGCCACCCGTCTCGCCCACAGGCAGCCCGAGGGGGTGTGGTAGGCGCGGACGGAGCCAGGCCACCGGGCCCAGCGCCGTCCGTTGCTCCACGCTGCCGGCTTCGCCCTTGGCGGCCGTGATTCCCCGCCCCCCCCCGCCTCGGAATGCGAGCAGCCTCTCGCGGCTGCGGGAACGTGGGCAGCTCTGGGAGGCCGGCGGGGGCCGCGGGCCGGGAGCTTGAGGGAGCCCCTCGGGGGCCTGGAAGTTCAGTCCTTTCCACCCCCGCTCCGAAGGTGGCCATAGAAAAAGCCCCTCTGAGCCGCTGGGGTGGGGTGGAAGGAGGCACAGGGGCCCGGGGAAGCGGGGGCCGAGGACCGCTCCGGAGGGGCAAGCGAAGCGGAGGAGAGGGCAGCCCCCTCGGCTGGATGGCGACTCAAATTAACGCCCTGGCTCGCGTTTCTCCTCAGGCAGCAACAGCAGCGCCTCGCCATCCACACCCACTCGCGAGAGAGCCCGTCCTCCTTTGTCTTGCCACCATCTTACGGAAAACGAGCACGTCCAATTTCTCTCGTGCCTACACTGGGGGGATGTGTGTCGCGTAGGCACCGCCGAGCAGCCAGAGAGCCATTTTGCATCTAGCGAGGAGCAGTTCGCTCGCGAACGCGTGTGTGAAGTGGGTGGGGGGGGGCAGAGAGAGAGAGAAGCTGCATGGCTCGATCAGAGAGGAGGGGTGGAAGAAGACGGAGACCTCGGGGGTGAAAACCACCAGCCAGAAATGCAAACCCGAAGCAGCCTTAAATAAATAAATAAATAAGACCATCCAAGCATGCAGTGGGTTTTTGCAGCCTGTCTCCTGGCGGGCTTGGACGTGGAGCAGCCCTCCTGCACCTGCCCACTCCCTGGGCCGCCTGCTCTGCTCCTGCCCCTTCTCTTGAGGGCAAGCCCCCTGGCGGCCAGTGGCCAGCTGCCCATCCCGGGAGAAGCCGCCTCGCTGCATCAGGCCTCCCCCCGAGCTCCAGGGCCTCCTGCTGCCGCTGCTGCCACCGCTGCCTGCCACGCTCCAGCCAGACTGAATGCACCATCTTGCCAGCCCACTACCATGTTGCACACTTCGATTGGCCGCCGGGGGAGGGCGAGGAGGCGGCTGCCCCAGCGGCTCGCCAAGGCCAAGGGACTCGGGCATGCAGGGGGAGAGGCAAGTCCATCTTGATCCTGTCCTAGACACCTGCCTCCTGCCCCACCCCCCCCACCCCCTTTGCAAGCGCCAGAGGAGCCGCGACACCGTCGTGACAGGCGGGAAGCTGCGGGGGGGGGGGGGCGGCTTGCCTCCTTTTGCTCCATCTCAACTGAGGAGCCAAGCGAAGGAGGAATCAACATGTCTGCACTGCTCCCCATCTTAAAATTGTACCTGCTCTCCGAACAGCATGGCTGGCTCTTTTGTGAGCTTGAGCTACTGCTGCTGGGCGGGTGGTTCGTGCCATTCGTACAAATGAGCCCCTAAACATGAGTTGCTACTTTTCCATGGCAGATTTTCTCTTCCCCACCCCCGCCACCCCCTCTTCACCTTTCCAGCAAAGAAAGAGAGAGGCGAAGACCTTTCCCCCCCTCCTACCTTGGTTTGTAGAAGCAGAACCTCTAGGCGGACAGATTAAGGGAGTGAGCATGTTGGGAGTATCCAGTCTCCTCTTCTTGCTTGCATATCCACATAAGAAGAATGAGGTTTGGGGAGCAAATGGGGAGGGGGCGATGCAATATGTTTCTAATTGGAGGGGGAGAAAAATCTTTTTCTTGCAAGAAGGCTCGGCTTTGGCAATCTTTGTGTCTTGAAGCGGTGCAAATGTAAAACGAGGTTGAGAGAGGGAGGGAGAGAGAGATCGGCTTCGAAGATGAATCAGACCGTGTGGAGAGGAGGGTCATAAAATGCAGGATCCATAGAGATCATTAAAAAAAACACACCAAATCGTGATGGTTCTTCTAAGGATGCAGATAATACAATAGAAATATATAAATATATATTCCTGTGAGCCCTAGTAGAAGGGGCTGGCTCTGGCTGTCGCGGATGTCGGTGCTGGTCCTCTGAGAAGCATGATTATTCCCCAGGCGTCCCCTCCTGAAAAGGAAAAAAGGGGGAGAGGGTCGGTATTGAGCTGGCTGCGAGAAAGACCGAATCGCTCCCGTAGCGAGGCACTAGCACGTTTCCAAGAATGGCAAGGAAAACGCATTTCCCCACATCAGCCCCCACTAAAGGAATGGCCAACAGCTGGCACGGCTCTATAAATATTTCAGAGATGCTCTAGCTGTGCCGTTGCTGGGACGGGCACCGAGGCGAACTGGAGAAACAGGCGAGCGAGAAACCACCGAGAGAAGGAACCCCGTAACGCGCGCACACACACACACACGTACACACGAGCGCGTGCGCACGACAGCCAGCCCCCCACTCGCGAGGAGCATTTCGCTGGCGAGCAAGTGCCGTTCCCAACCCCATCTGCATTGCTGCTGACATGTCGGCGGTCGCTTCCCCACCCCCCACCCCTCCTCCTCAACCCACCGCCACCCCCAACCCCCGGGAATGAATGGAGGAATGAATGAATGGGAGGCGGGCGGGGGTCTCCGGGCTGAGCAGCGAGGCTGCATTTGGCTGTTCTGGGAAGGTGGCGGGGAGATGCACACGCGCCGCTGGCGGGCACGCGGGGCTGCTGCCCAGCGCCCATCACCTGCAACGTGTGTCTACGGGAGCAATGGCAGCAGCAGCAGCTTCATCTCCGGCAGCCCCTTCCCCGCCGTCCATCGGTTACCTGTTAGCTAGGCGTTGTTGCATGCAGGGGAGGCGGATCGAGACACGGGCTGCTTAGGGCACGGTCTTCCCAATCCCAGCTGAAAAAGCAACGAGCCATCGTGCGCTAGAGGAGAAGAGCCCATTACGTACCGGCAAGAGCCTCTTCCCACGAGCAACAACTGGCAAGTCCACGGGGGAGCTGCCTGGGCTGGGGTGGGTGTGTGGTTTTCTTTTTCCTTCCCCCCACTCCCTCCCTCCCTCTCTCTCTCTCTCCTCCTTTTGGGGAGGGGGCAGAGGGCCAGTGCAGATGGACCACACTCGGGTCCGCGCAGCTCACACGCAGGGTCTTCTCGGAACGGGCGAGCGATCGCGGCTCAGCGCAATCCGGAAGAGATGCCCGCGCGCATCGTCCTCCTCTGCAATCATAAATAACAGGAAAAATTAATCCCACGGAATTCCTCGGAGGTGTTGCTGGTGGTGAAAGGAAAGGAAGGTGAAAACCATGGCGAGAGAGAGAGAGAGAGAGAGAGAGAGAGAGAGAGGAGGTGGGGGTGGGAGGAACCAAGGAGCCACGTCTCCTGTAAGGTGCACTCTCTGGGGCGCAAGGCAAAATGCTCCTGGGGACCCAAGTGGGGAGCTGGGCCGGTGGGCCGGGGAGGGTCACTCTCCCAGGCGCCCGCCTACGAAGTCTCCAGCATTCACACGCATCCACGCAATGAATCTGGTTCTGTACAAGTGTGTGCGCGTGTGTGCGCGCGCGCGCGTTCAGCCTCGAAATGGAGGCGGAGGAGGCATTTCTTCTTCTGGGCCTGGCTTCCTCGCCTCGCTTGCTGAGCCACTGGCTGAGACAGCTGCCAACGTCACGTAGCCCGAGGGCAGAAGCGCCGGCTTCGCCCAGCCTCTCAGCGCCTCCTACTGGCGACAGCGGAGAACCGCGAGCGGCGCCAGCGAGCGGGATTGGGGGGCAATCGGTGACCTCAGCCAGGCTGGGCCTCCGCTCGCCATCCCGGAGAAAACTTCCCTTCTAGAGAGCTTCTCAGGTTGTTGGCGAGGAAAGAGCCTCACTGAGGTTTTCCTTCTTGACTTCCTTCCCCGCGGGGCTTGCTGCTGGTGGAGCTTCCCTAGCGCCGATCCCGAGATCGGTGAAGAAAGGCAGGCGGTGGGGAGGCCAGCAGGAGACCCAGGCGGCTATTCTGCAATTAAGGCCGGCACATTCATGGCCACCCTCAAAATTAAGTAGCCAAGCGGTGGGGAATAAAGCTGAAAAGACTCAGGCCCCTTCCCCACACGGAGGTTCCACTCTCCCCAAATGAAACATAGCAGTAGCATTTAGGCAAAAGAGCTCTGGATCTGAGCATCCTCACACCTTTGGAAAACTTCTTCCCACACCTCTGGATTGTATTATTACCATTATTTATTAGCTTTGTATACCACCCTTCATCTGCAGGTCTCAAGGCGGTTCACGCAATAAAACAAGATAAAAACAAGAAATCCATGTAGACCATATTAGTTAAACAAAAGTAACTGCCATCCCTTCATAGTCTGTAGGGCTGCACACTCAAAATCACTGACTATATAGGAATTCCACCTTCATCCATAATATGCACTTCAAAGGTGCAGAAAGTTCACCTGCCAACCAGTCTCTAATCAGCATAACTGGGTGCCTGTGACTATGGGATGGGTTCACACAGGCCCCTGAGATTTCCAGTACACACAAACACACACACCTCAGTGCTACACACTCTTTTCAGTAGATTTAGACACACTGAGCTCTGTACAGGATTGAGCCCCCCCAAGATCGCAAGTGCTTCCCCCACATATAGAACATGTTTTGTGACCCAAGGTCTACACACGGGTAGCATCCATATGCTCACCTTCTTTCTTTCTTTCTTGTACCACCCCTCATCCAAAGACCACAGGGCAGTTAACAACATAAAAATACAAAATGGTAACACAAAATACATAACAAAACGAAAACAAACCAATAACCCCCACACCCACAAACACATTTAAAAGGCCATAGAATGTTTAATCTGCCAAAGTTCTGGTGACAGAGAAACCTTTTCACTTGGTGCCTGTTCCACCGTGTCACATGTTACACCGGCGCAATCACACGTGTCAGGCACTTCGCATTTGTGTGCGCATGAAGTCAGAGGCCAAAAGCCATCAGTTATGAAGGAGGGGTGGGTGGCCAAAAGGGTCAACTTCCAATTGGAGAGGATCTTGAATGGTTCACTCAGTTTGCAAATTAATAGAAAACTATTTAGCACCAGACCAGGACTCCACATGAGTTAGGCAAGGCAACAAAGCAGCACCTTCCTTGTCCTGGCAGACAAAAGCTTTTTTAAGAGAGCAAGGTTCTTAGTCTTGATTCTGGTTTTGCTCATTTCATTTTTCAAGATCTCTGTTATGGTAATATTTTTTCTTCCAGAAACTAAGAAGGTGATGGGACATTTCCAAGGAATCCTGCTACAAGGAACAGACAGACACCAGGAGTGGCAACTCAGCCCCACAACTGTGGGTGTCTGGGGCCGTGGGTGCCATGCAGAGTGCATGGCCCTGGCACTGAAATTTGTGGGTGCCTGGCCCCTTCATGGAGAATTTAATTTTTTCAAAAAAAAATTATTGATTTCCCAAAAATTTTAAAACAAACACAAATCTTATCTATACCTAATCTTCATAACATTATTAGGTGACTTCCTCTAATCCCCCTGGCTGAATTTCAGTGTATATCATTGTAACAGTTTTCCAAAACTAAATTTCTCATAAAATTAACTTAATCAGTTAACATCATTCTTTCTTTTCATTTTGACTTTAAACATTTTATTCTCTAACATCACCTATTTAAATCCTAAGCCTATCTGGTATTTGCAAGTATTCCCAGTTAAGTTATCTTAGCATATTTAACTAAATAGTCTTAAAATTTCATCCATTCCCTCTGGTACTCCTCCTCCTTCTGGTCGTGGACTCTTCCAGTCAGGTCGGCTAGCTCCGAAAAGTCCATCATCTTCATCTGCCATTCCTCCACTGTTGGAACTTCTTGTGTTTTCCAATTCTTAGCTAACAAAATTCTAGCTGCAGTTGTGGCATACAAAAACAATCTTACATCTTTCTTGGGCAATTCCAAACCTATTATTCCAAGAAAAAAGGCCTCTGGTTTCTTAATAAATGTATATTTCAACATTTTTTTCAATTCATTATAAATCTTCTCCCAGAAGTCTTTCACCTTGGGGCAGGTCCATCACATATGATAAAAGGTACCTTCTTTTTCTTTACATTTCCAGCATAGATTATCACTATTATGATATATCTTTGCTAATTTGACAGGAGATAAGTACCATCTACGGTGGTACCTCGGGTTGCATACGCTTCAGGTTACATACGCTTCAGGTTACAAACTCCGCTAACCCAGAAATAGTACCTCAGGTTAAGAACTTTGCTTCAGGATGAGAACAGAAATCGTGCTCCGGCAGTGCAACAGCAGCGGGAGGCCCCATTAGCTAAAGTGGTGCTTCAGGTTAAGAACAGTTTCAGGTTAAGAACAGACCTCCAGAACAAATTAAGTATGTAACCAGAGGTACCACTGTATACATCATTTTCATAATATTTTCCTTTAACACCATACATGCAGTGAACTTGACCCCTTTTCTTCACAACCTTCAAACATTATGTTATGACCCACATCTCTTGCCCAATCTATCATCCACAGATTTAACTTTTTCATCCTTTGTATGCCACTCCAACAATAAATTATACATTTTAGGCAAGTTTTTAACTTTAGAGTCCAACAACTCCGTTTCCAGCTTAGTTTTTTCCTTCATGGGGAATTTTGTGGGTGCTCGGGGCCCCAGGGCCCCAGGGAATCGGCACCTATGACAGACATTGACTCAGGATGTAGCCTAAAATGTGGAACATGCTGCAGGGGTAGTTCTTTGTGTTTTAAACAAATAATTAAATAACCTTCAGTCACTATTTTCAAAAGCAGATTGTCAGCAGGGTCAATTGACACAGCAGACACTGTTGTCACTTGGTCATCACACATCCCCCTAGAAAGCATCTGTAACATGTGCAGAGGAGGTCCCATCACTGTAAACAAGATGGAGACATTAAGCAGAAAGCTAGAACTAATCATAGCTCCCAATGTGTCCCACTTTACTTACCAACATGCAGCTCTCCTTCAAACATTATGATGTTCACTGAAAGATGAATAAGTGGAATGGGCTAGCAAACTCATGACAAGAGGTATGAGACAGGCCCAATAGGCAAGGTGGCGAGGAAGCACTCTTTAACAGGCTAGTGGTGGGGCTGCAACTCCTTACTTTTCAAGCCTGGGCTTTTGCCATAACAAGGAAGAAGCTGTTGGGGTAGAAGAACTCTTAATTATAATGTGTTGGGGGTGGGGGTTGTTGTTGTTTTTTGAATACATACTACATCCCTGCAGTACCATGGCAGAACAGGCTTACAATATATGTGTACAGCAGTTTAGGACATTATTTTAAAACAAAGCTCTTTTGCACTGTGTGCAGTGACATGTCTTAATTTACACCTGCGATCACCGCAATGGCATATTTATTAGGCAGCAAGGTCTGTAATTATTGACTGTCACCACTGCTCCACACCTGGAGCTCCTGTCTTCTGAGTGCCACACTGAACCACAGCTACACTTTTGCTTTCTCAAGGAGGGTAAAGCAATCTGGACTTCTTTTTTCCAACATTTCCATTGCCTATATATATATTTATTGTGTGGTTATTTATTTCTTTATTTTCATGTGTTCAAAAGTATGAGGTGCACATTATGATCCTCATTGCATGCTGTTGGCCCTACATAACTGTCTGATTACCTAACTTGAGTCAGTACATAAAGATTTTGATTTTCCTAACTGCTTTAGGTTTATTTATGAGTGTATGAGAGAGAGAGAGAGAGAGAGAGAGAGAGAGAGCGCTATTATATAAAATAAATTGCAGAAAGACATTTTGATTGTTACCTTTCCAAAGGCAGGAGCCATTATAGCTATGCAAGGGGTTTGAATTCATATCAGAAGGACCAATGTGTATGTAAGTATAATAGGAAAATGGTTAAAGGAAATTATGTGGGTTATGGCACTGGGGTGGTGGTGTTATTAAATAAATTAACAACTAACTGCTCCACTGCCACAATTATGAAAGTAGACCACTGAGTTAGTGCTATTAGCATGAGTAAGGCTTGCGGGCTTTGACCACAGGAAAATTTAGGATGAAAAGGAAAATGAGATTAAGAGGATATATATAATAATAAATGGCATAGAAAGACCAGTAGGCTGCAAGAAAAGGTTTGTGGTGAAATTTAAAGGAAAATAGATATAACAAAACCTCAGTCGTGCAACCTATAATTTATGCATGAAATTAACTGACAAAAAAAAAGAATGATTAGAAAAATACTAAGATTTTTCAAAAAGGGTTGAGAAAGTATAAATGAGACTCATACAGAACAGGGTAGGCAGAATAAAGGTAGTTTGGAGAATACTGCTGCTGTTTTAAAGCTTGATCACTTTTATGATTGTTGGGCATTTTTCTATAGTATGATTATAATGCACAGTGGTTGTGGTTGTTTTTTAATGCTGGTGCATATTCATCTGACAATTAGCCACTTTCAGAGATACTTCAAACTTGCTGAATTAGACAAACGATTAGCTCACTCTTCAGTTACAATTAATTAGCTTTTGCCCTCTGTGGGAATAGTGTTAGAAAAGTGCAGCCCACACAACTTTCCAGACACTTGCCAGGAACGGCATTGTGGGCTTGACTTTTTGTTTACTAAAGAACAACTGGAAGGATTTGGATGCGAACCATGGTTTGGAGGAAGACTCTGCTTCAGCTGTTGCACTCCCTGTCTAGCTTAGGGTTGCCATATGTCCAGAATTTCCCAGACATAGCCGGAATCATGCAGTTGGAAGCAGTGTCTGGGCAGAAATTGCTGAAATGTCTGGGGAAATCCGGATGTATGGCAACTGAAGTTGGAAGTCTCAATTTTTAAGGCGGATCTCCTTTAAAATAGCTCAAAAACTTCATTTTTGAAAAGAAAGAAAAAAAGCTTAACAACACTTGTGTCTGGATTTTCACTTTTTGAAAGATGGCAACCCTAATCTAGATTCTCACCACACAACTGCTGTTTACTAAACAAAAACCCAGTACATAAGTAGAAAAATACCATCTATTTGGGCCATCACTCCTGAACTGCTAGGAGAATCACCAGACTGCAGAAACAACTACTCTACCTGAAATTGATGGCCTTTTAAACTGTGGGGGTGTTGTTTTTGTTTGTTAGAACGCTATATATTTTCGTGGTTTTTATATTGTTAAACCCCCCTGTGATCTTCAGATGAAGGGTGGTATAGAATTTTAATAAATAAATTAAACAGCATTTGCAAAAATGGTGAGTTCAAAGTTCCAGCTCTCTGCCCCACCCCACCCCATCCACACCATACATTTAAAGCACACAACTTTTCCCAAATAATCCTGGGAACTGTAGTTTGTTAAGGGTACTGTGGTTTGAAGCTCTGTGAGGGGTAAACTACAGTTCCCAGGATTATTTGCAGGAAGCCATGAGATTTTTAATGTATGGTATGTATGAAGGCTGAGTTTCTGCTTTAGGGGCAGTATGCTAATGAGGAAAGGCTTGGGGATTTTGGCCATGTACCCACCACTTGTTTGTTTCATTGTTTCATATGAAATACTGCATTTTATGTGCTCTCCCCCCACCCAACTGACCTCAATCTGAATTGAGAAAGAGAACAACTTGGCTGTGTTTTAAGCTGGTAATGGGTGTAGCCAGGATTTTTGTAAGAGGGGCAGGACTTGGGGGGGGGGGCAGAACTGACGTGACTGGTCAGTTAGTTAAGTATTCCTATTGTTTTACTTATTCGGAGGGGGGGCTGCCCCTCCGTCCCCACCTTGGCTACACGTGTGCACACGACCTGAGCTATGAAGAGATTCTGGATGAATGGCGGAGAGCAGAGATAAGGAGAGATAATGGGGAAATGAAACAGGTTGTGAGGAGGGTTGAACATTATGAAGGAGGGAGCAGGAAACCACAGAGTTGGAGGGACCTTGTAGGTCATCTAGACTTCCTTCTTGAAGCAGGAAATCTAGAGCTGAAATAAGTGGTTACAGATCTCTCACTGAAAACAGATCACTGCACATATTCTTGTTCCTGAGAAGTTAAGATCTTTCCAAAGCTTTCTGTATTCATCTGCTGTCTTTGCCATTCGGCCTCAGGCAACTTTTCATAGAAAAACAGTTTGGTACCTCCTGCCCTTGTTGAAATTACAGAGCAGCCACCGCCCCCAAGTGAAAATATCGGATGAAAAACAGTCCAGTATGCCATCTTTCTAAAACGTTAAACTTATGCATTGGTGCCATTATAGACAGGATGATGTAAGTAAAGGCCAGAATTTAATTTGCTCGGTATAAGAAAATGATAGGTTCCAAATTATCCCAATAAATAATACAACCTTTTTGCTCACCGTGAAGTATTCCTCTCTAATTTAGACGTCATAGAGGCAATGAATTCCATTGTCATAAAGGAATACCATCTTGTACCCTGTATATCAGATCACCGAGTCCCACTCTGTTATCTACCTATCAAACAAAGTATGACAATGACACAATTCTTGTAAATCTGAAACATACGAGTATTCCACAGTCAGAGAAACAGAGAGATCAAGACTGCTAAAGTGAGTAGGAATTCCAGGAGGCCTATATGCATATGGGGTTTCAGAGGACAGAGCACTTTCAGTGCTTCCTAATAGTTAAGCTTGCAATCCAAACTTCAGCTGGTGAACACTGGGGTTTGATGGGGCAGTGGGGCCGCCGTCACCACATTCATGGCTGTGGTGGAAAGTGAGGGAGCAGGGAAATTGGCACAACAACTAGGGGTATTCATGGGCTGCTGCCATCGGGGATTCCACTGGTGGCACTTTTGTGGGTAGAGCAGGGAGCTCCATACTGGTAGAGTGATGCTGGTGTCACTCCACAGGCAGAGGTCAGCAGAGACCTGCAGTGCTGGGTGGAACAACACCTAGGTCCACCCAAATGACCTATTTGCCCCACCACCCCGGTGTACAGGAGGGCTGGATTGTAGTGTAAAGAATGGGCATTAACAAGAACATCTAAAAACAAATGACCCAACATTGTTTTGAAAATCATTAAATTCCCATCTTTCTTTCTTTCTTTCTTTCTTTCTTTCTTTCTTTCTTTCTTTTTTGCTGTTGAATGGGATCTAGTGCATCCTATATAATCCCACAAAGACTCACCAAGCTACAACAAAACGCAGAAGATCTCATTGTCATGCAGTGAAAGCGGCATCCTAAGCATGGCAAGTGTAGTTCATCCATCATGTTACACAGGCAGCTGCAGTCCTATTAAGCTACTACTAAATGTTAGGTGTGCCAGTTGCACCAGTATGACCTATGAAAACTGGAATGTCTTTAGTATTTTGTTTTCTATCCCAGCTTTAGGTCCAGCAGGATCCCCACAGCAGCTTGTATAGATTAAAGAAAAAATGCACTACAAGAACACTGTAACAGCTTCTACTGCCTCTAGCACATATGCCAATCGATGCAGGAGTGTTTCTAGGTACTTAAAGGACTCAGGACACAAGGGCTATGATGCACATTTGCACATCCTGATTTTGAGGGATACACACCTCAAGGAAAAATAAATGGCCGGGTCTCATCAGCACTGTGCTTTGCAATGTACCCAGAACCCTGTAGGCAAAGTAATAAAGTGGGAAGGGGCCTGCTGCACCCTTGATTTGGTGATAGCAGTGCCCACCTTTTCCCCAAGACTGCAGGACTTTTTACGGTCCAAGGGCAGGGCAGGAGGAGGAAGACTTGGTCCTCCTAGGAACTGCTGAGTGTCAGCAGTTGGATCTTCTGTTGCCTAGCTAGGCACCCTTCACTCTCTTTCCTCTTTAATACAGTTATAGCCAGGGTCCCAGGGTCTCTTAATGAATATTAAGTAATAAATGGTAGGTAAAGGTAAAGGAGACCCCTGACCGTTAAGTTCAGTCACGAACAACTCTGGGGTTGCAGTGCTCATCTCGCTTTACTGGCTGAGGGAGCCAGCATTTGTCCGTAAACAGCTTCCAGGTCATGTGGCCAGCATGACTAAGCCGCTTCTGGCAAACCAGAGCAGTGCACAGAAACACCGTTTACCTTCCCGCCAGAGTGGTACCTATTTATCTACTTGCACTTTGATGTGCTTTCGAATTGCTAGGTTGGAAGGAGCAGGGGCCGAACAACGGGAGCTCACCCCGTCACGGGGATTCGAATCACTGACCTTCTGATCAGGAAGCCGTAGGCTCTGTAGTTAAGACCACAGTGCCACCCACATCCCTTCAATAAATGGTAGTATTTACATAACATTTAGGATATTGCAGGGGAAAAGACAGGCTGCAGCAGTTCCCCTGAACTGTGCCAAACATGGAAATTCCAGGTTTTAGCTAAGCTTATTAAACTAGTTTCTAACAATACATTGCATCCCACACCCACCCTGCCCCTCTCCCTTCACTTAAAAGCTATGCAACAGCTTCATGCGGCACTTCTATGCTGCATTTAGAAAAGGTAGCTGTTCCATAGGCAGTACATAGGCGCAGCAATTGCTGGCCTACACCCTAAATCTTGAACTGCTGACAGAGCAGTTGATAGGGTTAGTTCAATAGAGTCTACTTCCTATAACATGTTTTCTATGACAACCGAAAAATAATGGCACGGTGTTAGTAAATAGGGAACAAAGGCTGTCATTTAACTACCTAGAGTGAATGAATTGCAGCAAGTTAAACATAGCAATGTAAGAGTTGCCATAGTGAATCAGACTTGTGATCCATCTTAAGAAATGTCCTGGCTAACAAGAGGCATTCATTTTTCATTTTAAAAAATGAATGAAAACTCTTGAGCAGGTTGATACAGATAATCTTTCTAGAGTGCTAGATCTCATTCCAAGCTATAATATTAAGAATTGGCTTAATCCCTGCCCATATGAATTTCTGCTTTGTTTAAAAAAATTCAGCACTAGGTAGCATTCTGTGTTTTTGTGTGTGTGTGTGTGATCTGAATAAGCTATACAGTTATGATGTTAAAAGGGGCATGAGACCAACCTCTGGCCACACACCAACTGCCCCACAGAGCTTATGATAGTAATATTCTGTAGCTGGTAATAGTATTTGGTGGAATACCCTCCTAAGAGAGGTCAGATCAGCTCCCTCTTATCCACTGACAGGCTAAGACCTTCCTATTCAGAGAGGCCTTTGAAAACTAAGGTATGGTGCTGATCACTGGGCTGCTGTCAGGGCAAACTGTATTTTAATTGCTGGTTATAAATGTGTTCTGATATATTTTAATTATTGTTTTTAACTGGTTTGTTTTTATAACTTTGTATTTTATAAAGTTTTTTTAACTGCAAGCAACCTTCAATCCCAACTTAGAAGAAAGGTGGTATATAAATACATTATTTTGATGATGATGGTGATGATGATACAAACCATACCATAATAATAATAATTTAATTAAGTAAATTAAAATCCAATCTACTTAGCCAGGGTTATGTTTTTTTCCCACCTAGACCACAGGAAAGGCTTCTCCAGTCCAGTGGTGACCAAAATATTTTTTAATACAACTCCCATCATCTATGATAACTGCTGGCTGGAGCTGATGGGAGTTGTGGTCCAAAATATATGAAGGCCACAAATTGGGGGAGGCTGTCTTGGTGGGGAAATGGCAGAGGGAGAACTCCATTTGTGACCAAAAGGTCTAGTTTGAAGTCACCAAATGGTTTTACCCAGCAGAAAGCAAGGCTTTTTTTTACTTCTACCCCTGCAAAAACCTAGAGTGCCTGGAATATGAAGCCCCTGGACCAATTTATAACAATTTGACAGGTTTCTTTCCTATGGGCGCTTTTCTCATGTCTATAATTTTTAGACCAATTGCCCACAAAATATTGGGAAGAGTAAATGATTCCTTTTGCAGCCCACCAAAACTGTAAGAGCTACTATTGAGTAAAAACGCACAGCAATTATCCTTCTTAAATCTGGCAGGATTCATGCCCTCAGAATAAATGATTTTGCCTGCAAATTTCATCTAATGCCACACACAATTTTAAGTTATAGACAATTCCTTTTTAAAAAAAATCAAACTTTAAACTGAAGGGCTAGTATGCCTGCAAATTTCATCCACTTCAGTCAAAAGGGGGGGGGAGTTACACAGCTGTTCACCATCATCACCATAATGAATGGGAGAAAATGAAGCAAACTTGGACAGACTCCAGCCTAAACAAGCAGCCTACAAAGCACCTTGGATCAAGGTGGGCTGTTTACCAAGCACTGGATCAGAGTCTCAACTGAATCTTATGGTCAGTGCACTATATAGATTATGAACACTGAGGAATCCTGAAGCTCATATTGAAACAGGGACATTTTCACAGATTTCTTGCTTTTTTTTTTCAAAGGAATAGGGAAACATGCAGAAAGCATTTTTGTTTTCCTTTTTATGTTATGGGCTTAGGTCAGATGTGGCCAATTGTACTCAACTTCCAGTGAAACTATCTCAGGTTGGAGGTTATGCTTTAATAGTTTTGAAGTCGTCTGTTACATATGCCGCCGCCGCCACCAAGTTTTCTGTCATATTTAATCTGACAGTTCAGGTGGTTTTTCTCTCTCCGTCATGATTCACTACACTGAATACTTGTTTCATTCATATGTTCATTTCCAATAAACACATAATGATTTTTGCTTGGAGGTGTTTGGCAAAGCCACAGGACGTTTAGCTTTGCTGATCTAGGAAAGGCTGCAAGAGTTAATTCAATTCAGTGAATCTCAATGTAAAGGTTCTCAGTCTGTGAATGAAACTCATTCCAAATAAGAAGTTGGTGTGGCATATGCAGCTTTTTGTTTGAAAACATTTGCTATGAGCAAGGGGATGTGAGGAGCCCAGCTATTCAATGTCTTTGAGGGTAGGAGCTAAATTCATAGTTTCATAGTTCTGCATTTGGAGAGGAATTTAGACTATTCCTCACATTTGTGTCTCACACTTCATACAAAGAGTTCAAGGATTTACATTTTATCCTCACTTTAGCTGCATGAGGTACATATCAGGGATGGGTCATAGAGTTTACTGTATGTTTTTGGGGGGGGTTAGCCCTTATTTGACTGTTGATGTATTTTATGTGACTTCTTTTTTCATTTTTATATCTTATGTAAACTAGAGATTTATTTTTGTACTAAGTGGTATACACATTTTATAAATGAAGAGGGCTGAAAGTATAAGATCCTGGCACCAACTGGAATCAGAATTGGATGGAACACCTGAGTTATGGCATAATGTAGGAAACCGGCCTAAAGCAATGCAGGAGAGTCATTCTAGGAGCAGAGTTGATCTCATAGCCAGAGCCAAGTAGTCCATCAAAAATGTTGGCTGGGACAGGTATATAGAGGAGGACCAAGTAGGTAAATGGACAATGAAGCTGAGAAGTTGAAAACAAAGCTGCCAAGGAGCTGAACCTGAGGTCTGACTTGTAGGCTTGGTTAAGGAGGAACTAACATGTTGTTAAGAGATGGTGAATCACTCCTGGAACCTGAGAGGACAATAGTGGCCCTTCTTTTCCACTATATAGCTTTAAGTGACTCATCACAAGCAACACCAGTACACAAACCAGGAGGCTCCAGTTACAAATCCAAAAAGATTTAACAGGAGGTTAGATGGAGTGAAAGTGAGATTCATGCCTGAATGGGGATCTGAAACCACGTCTTCCATGTCCAACACTCTATATCCATGATATGCAAATTTTAAAGGAGATTATGAAGTTCACAGGTTCAAATTCCCTCAAACAATTTTGTCAGGAATACTTTAGTTAGAGTTAGAAGTACAGCCTTAAGGAAAGAAGTTTGCCTAGAATGCCTTTCTGAAACTAGAATTGTAAATAATATTTAAATTCTGTAATACAGATCAGATTCCAACTGCTGTATTTCATACCACAGAGCCACCAGGAATAAGAAGAATTTATTATTTCTATGTTGCATTAAAAAAATGCCTTGAGTTCTACAATGAAGGCTTCATCAGAGCATTGAAAACTAAATCAAAATTCCAGCAAGGAAGGAAGGATTTAAGTTTAGGCTTAAGCTTTGAAGTTGTTCCCAAGAAACAAATTATTATTGGATGGGAACCAACAAAGCAATTATCTAGTTTGCTGCTCATGCTACTGAGGGCTGCTGCCTGCACCCAGAGGGATCTGACACAAAGGCCCTTACCTAACCAGGCTTGTATAAAGGAACAAAATATTACTTACCATTATTCTAAACACTTCAGTTTCCTGGCTATATGCCACCAGTGCAAGGAAAGGGGAATCTCTGTGACTATGATGCTGACTGCTGCTGAGATTATATACCAAAAACACTTTATCAAAATGATTGGGTTGCTATGGAAGTAGGCAAACTTATCTGATAATTTCATATTAAAGTTTTGCTTTTGAATGATGCAAGATCAATTTATTCAGAAAGCCAAGAGCTAATAACTGCAGAAGGCTCACAACTCCTGTTTTGACAGTGAAATCAGAATTTCTGAGGTATATTTTTAAGGTTACCATATGTCTCTGCTTTCCCAAGATGCTTCCAATTTTCATATTGTCCCCCATTCTTCTGAAACCTCTAAAATGTCTCTTTTTCATCTAATTATTTAAAACATCTGAGGTTTTAAATTTCTTTGGCTTTTTCTTCTTCAGCTGGTTCAAGGCCCTTTTACATTAACAAAAGCTACTAAGGAAGAACCTGAAAACAAGGGGACATGAGGCTCTGCTCAAGAGAGTCCAACTGAGGGGACCCACAGGTGTCAAAGGCACATTTATATTTACACTTCTCAGTGGCCATGCCCTCTTCAAGTAGCTCAGCACCTAATTTGCTTCTTTCTTCTCTTCTATAAGCCAATTCAGAGATTTCGACAGACATTCCCCAGAAGCAGGTGTAAATTTGAGTCTTTTTTTTATTTTCTCAGGAGCCAAACAGGAGTAACAATGATTCCTCTTGTACCATCCTATGTGGTGTATTTATTTCTTCAGCACCAACTGACACCCTCAACTGCCCTCCGGTGCTTCCTACTCAAAGTGAATTCTTTGGTTGCCCCTGGCAACTCCCACAGCACAGACCTGGCTACTAGTAGAATTTTAAATCTTAAGGGTGAATTTGGTTAACTAAATCAAAGAAATACCTTTGCTCCTCAGAACTCTGAGAAGTGGCATCCCTCAGGCTGTGAGGCTGGCAGCTGAAGAAGCATTGGGGAGACTGGGGGACTTATTTATACAACAGCACCTCCAATGGCTGACTCAGATAAGATCATATAGTTAGGTAGTTCAACTCTCAGCTGCTAAATCGTCCCCAGCTTTTATATTCAGTTCTCCGGCTGTGTTGAGATTACATGGCTGCTGGTAGCTCAAAAGCCATTACCTTTTTTATATAAAAGAACAAACATCTTGGCCTAATGAAACTGAGAGGTATATAGTTTAAAGTAGCTGTGGAAGGGATCTGACACTGACTTCTTGTGGTGAGGGGGTGCTAAGAACAGCTTCATGAAGACAATATTCATTGGCCCTGAGGATGTGTTTACACCTAAATTTTCAAAACAGTAGCCATTTACTTCCACATTCATCCTTCTTTACAGTATGAAGAAGCCAAGGAGAAAATGGACATAGTTAAATTGTGAATAGCAGGTCCTGTTTTGGGGGTGGGTTTACAAAACTTGAGAATTAAACCTTTGAGTATAACACAGAGATGTTGCATACAGCTAGCATGCCCTGACTTGGCCATCCTAGGTTCACTGCAGAATGTTTCCCAAGGATAGGACAGAATCCCATCAAGAGCCAGAGGCCTTGTTTGCTCTAGGAACCAAGAGCCCCAGTGACAAGCACAATGCCATGTCATTTATCTGGCACCATACATTGGAGAAAGCACTTGCCTTCTTCAGTGAACTGACAATGAGGCAGCAACAGGTATTTCAAGAAAACAGCATGAACACTTATGTTATCTCTTTACAGGAGTTGGTAAAATATTTTTAATTCATTTACTGAGCTGAACTCACGATGGTTATTTGCAAGGCTGTAGCCAGTGAATGGATACAAATGAGGCACTACTACACCCTAGCCAGTGATGTTCCCCACCCCACCCCCACCCCTGGGCTTTTAATATATAATCTGATAGCTTCAATTTAAATAATAAAAGCTTGTTTTTAAGAAAAAAAAGTGCGTGTGTTGTTTTTTAAGTGAACTCCCAGCCACCCACTCAAAAAGATGCAATCTCCAAATTTTGCTTACCTGACCCATCCAGCTTTCTCTTCACAGACTGAAATTTAAATATTCTGTTTTCTTCTTTTTTGCATTCACATAGCTGTACAGACACAAAGTCTAGTGTTCAGTCACTGGCAATGCCACTGTCACTATTCAACAGATACCCATGAAACTAACTTCCATTTTGCATTTCCTATTATACTTGACATGCTGGCAACAAGAGAAAATAATATTTTTCCAGTAGCAAATTATTCCACATTGAGTACTGGGAAAATGTGATATACTAACAAAGGAGTGATACTTGTCTGGATTATCCTTGACAAATTAATAACTGTTACACAATAAATGTGTAGCAGAAACACAATCTGAAGAGGCCCGTAATTATAGCATCACAGAATTCTATGTGGCTGCACATTGACTTCTGATAAATATGAGTTTTCAGATAAAGCGGGGATCATCTTCTGTAAATAAGATCCTTCTTCTAAGTAATTAACTAAAACCATAACCAATTCCTGCATCCCTTCTCCCTATGGCAACCTTCCAGTGCTGACTTAAGCTGGTAGGAGTTGTTGTGGAATATATATGGAAGGCAGCAGCTTACAGAAAGCTGTTCAGTGGGATATTCTATGTTGGACAGTTCCAGCTCCACTGAAACATTAAATATATTTGTTGCTTTCATATGGCTGGAGGGATGTTGCATTCTCTTTGCTCCAAGAACCATTTCCTCTCTAGATAGCATGGATAATTATACCTGCTTCCACCCACAGTTTAACTAAAGTGGCATTTCTTAAACAGTTTATATAGAACAAAATTATTCAAAGGTACTTGGCATTCAGCAGTTCTCATTTTTCTTCAATACTAAGAATCTTGCAAAAGGCTATGGGGGGCAATTATTTTCAAAAGGCTATTTTGTGAACCTGGAAAACATAAGAGTGAGGATTTTTCTTCAGGCAACCTGATTCCCAATCAGTTGTTTGTCTGCAAGTAATGGAAATTTCACATTAAAATGTGGGTGATATCAGAGATGGCTCAAGACATTTGAGTGCCTGAGGCGGAAAAACTAAATTCCCCACCCCCATGGTGGTAATAGTAGTAAAACAATAAACTAATTGACAATTTGTTGTCCTTAAATAGTACCCCAAAAGTTGCTGCCTGGGGCGGTTCTCCAAGTGGAGCTATGATAAAAACCAGAACAGGCCAAATCACATAAGGATTGTTGAAACAAAATGTGGCTCTAAACATCACAGCCAGTTATTAAACTGGCAATTGTCTAATTTAGAAAATAAGAAATGAGTTTCACTTTGATTTCTGCCAGCTAAAATCTAGATGGATGGGAAGTGGTTTGTTTCTATTTAGTTTTACCAGAGTCATTTTGCTAGAAAACCTGATCTCTAAGGTTGGGAAATACTTGTTCTGCACTGGAAATGAAAGTGCCAGAATCCTACCCAACCCAAGATCCAGAAAGACATTTTAAATGGTATCCCAGAGCTATGGGAACAGCAATATACCTCTCTCTTGACATTTAAAAAGCAATATAAAGCTCATGCACATATCCAGCCTCCTAACTCCCCCCACAATAAAATTAAGAGACTTAATTGAGCAGAGGGAAATCTTGTTTTAGAAATGGTGAAAGAATTTCACAACTAGTTTCTCATTTATTTCTTGTTGTTGTTGTTTTTAAAAAAACTTTAACAATATTAAGTAGGAAACAAGTCTGGGTTGGGGATGAAAAATGTGTCATACAGATCTATTCCTAATTAACATCTGGGGTAAGTTTACATGGAGACAGAATGGAAGAATAGGGTTGTGTGAACACTGCCATTTTGTCTGAGTACAGTACTTGAGTGTTCCTGCTTCAGGTCCTGCATTAGAAGGGAGCATTCAAGAGTTTAGTCAGTTTGTATTCCTGAAGTTCCAACTTTTTTTACATGTCCAAAATCAGTCTTTATATACATACTTTCCATGGCACAGACCTTCTATTTGCCTTTCCTCCCCTCAGTTAGAATCGTTGAAGGGACATGGATCTGATTTCTCTGCATCTTCACTCAAGACAGTCTTCCACATGGACACATCACATGCTTGTTTCTGCCCATGCCCTAGATGGAGGGGGGATATGCACCACATTATGTGTGAACAGGAGAACAAGTGGCTTGTAAAACAGTGATTGAATTGCCCCCCAAACCTCAGGCTTTTATATACATTATTTACACAATGAGTCCCATCTGATTGGCTGATTCTGCTTCCCTCCTGGAGCCTGACTGGTCTTTTCCTGCAGGCCAATCAGTTGTTGCATTCTAGGATCCTACCTGCCTATTGTTCTAGGATCCAAGCTTAGTACATAACAAAGTGTCAGTGTCCTTTTGGTCAGGGAAGCTGCCTATGTGACTTTTCTGAACATAAAACACAGCAAAGAACAAAAGAAAGCCAGTTCACACTCCAGCTTATACATTACAAAGTAAACACTTTTTTCTTACATGGATTAATCTCTGTGATGGAAAAGCTAGCATGAAGCAAATCATCAGAGCCCCCTGGCTAAAGTATAAAGACAGGAGCAGCGTGGCTATTGCCTGGGCTGAATCTGTTACGGGACTAAATAAAGGACTTCATCCTCTAGGGTCTGCCAGCCTTTCACCAGCACTAAATTCACTCTTTTAATAAAAAGATAATGTTATCTCATGGGAAACAGACTCCCTCCTGCCTCTTCCTTTGCTCTTAAGGAGCCAGCTAGCTCCCAGTCTCCCTCTGCAAGACAGTTACATCGTAATGAGGCGGGCTGGTTTCTCAAGGATAATGAATGCAAAAACAAGCAGTGATGGAAATGCCAAGCCAGGGTCCATCACTCATTCCTGAGCTCTGGAATCCATTAGGAAGTGCACCAGGGAAATGGAGACCCAAGCAGCATGTGAATAGGGCCAGGGTTGCAGGCTGGGAATGATTAGGAATGCAGGACAATCAAAGTTAACGTTTATTTCACTCTCAAAAAGCACACCCTTTGTCTCCCAGTAAGGAGAATCAAAATGCCCCCCTTCTCTCCCCAGAGTCTTTGTGCTTCTGATCTGTGGCATTAATAGAGTTCAAGCATGGGGACAGTCAGTTCATTACCAAGGTTGATTCATGCATTTTGGAGACATTTTGTGTCTAATATTTTTTCCTCCCCAAAGAGCTTTATGTTTGGCAGCTCTTACTTTTTTTCACACATTTCACCTCCTTCCTTTCTAACAGAGGGAAAGGGGAGGGGGAGAAGAACCATCTATGCAATTTTCTTCAGTCATTCTTTAATGCAAATAACTCAATTCATACTTAGACATGGTTATTACACAGCCCCATTCACCCGGGCAGAATTGGCTTCCCAAAGCTACTTTCGCCGTTTTGCTTCTATAAATGATTGTTCATTTCCCTTTTAAATTATTTGTACGCTGTTGCTCTATTCCTCTACTTGTTCATTTAGGAAACAAATGTCTCTGTGCCAGAGAGGGTATCTTGTGGGTTCAAATCTCTGCAAAGGTTAATTCAAAGAGCTTCATCCCTTGCATCAGTGAAAGCATCTATGAAAGCAGGAAGCCCTCAGCCCATTTAATCAAAGGACTAGAAATGGGCAAATTGTTCTTGAGTACACACTCCTGATTCAAGGCAGCTCTCTCCACAGATTAACCTACTCAATAATGTTGGTGCAGTGCTGGGGTGTTAAATTTAGATGAGGGAAGCCTAGGTTCAAATTTATGGGAAGGCATGATGCCCACTGGATGCCTGACCCGAGCTAAGAAGCAGAAAGAGATACAGAAATAATCTTTTGCATAAAGCCAATTCCTGGGTTGCACCCCATGACTGCATGACCAAGAAATAGAACTGAGGCAAAGTTATGAAGATCAAGAGATAGGTGGGCATCAGGGTAGCGAAGGGGCTGAAAACAAGGCCTATGTGGAAATAGTGAAAGACCTGCCTATGTTTAGCCTGAAGAAGGTAAAATTTAGAGAAGACACAATAGCCATCTTCAAATATCTGAATTGCTCTCATGCCGAAGATGAAGCATCAGGCTTGCTCTCAGTTGCGCCATAGAGCAGGATGAGTCCCAATGGAGAGTGGTAGGAAAGCAGATTTCATCTAAGCATTAGGAGAAACTTTCTAATGGCAAGAGCTATTCGGTGGAGGAGCAGGCTGCCCCAGGAGATGATGGGTTTTCTTTGGCTTGAGGTACTTCAAGCAGAGGCTCAGTTGCCATGTGTCAGGAGTGTTGTAGTTGCATTTTGCATTGAAGATCCTGCACTGAGCAGGTGGCTGGACAACATATCCTTCAAGGTCCCTTCCAACTCTATGATTATTTGTGTATAGGTGCTGACTTGGTCTTCAAAGGTTCCCACTGAGCTCCAGGAGACAAGTACAGCAAAGAGGGATGAAATCTGCTTTCTAGCCCCAACCTTTCGCACCACCACCAGATTTGGGGATCACCACAGGCAGTGGGCTGTTTCCCTCCACATAATAAAGGTTCCTTTGAGGCTGCTATACTTTCCTATGGGAACAGATTGGAAACATCTGCATTGGAAACAAAATTATCCCGTCACCATTGTCACATGGTGCAGACTTCAGTGATAGGGATTTCATAGGTGTTGAGGTACAATATACACATTGTTGAGCATTGACTCATTGCACCTTTGGGTTCCTGAAATATACCAGCCCTCCATGAACACCCACCCACTCACAGCTATCATGACAGACATTTTGCTAGCAGTAAATCCAGATCACTGCGCCACAGGCAAAGAAGAATGAACGTGGAATCTACAGGGCAGATGGCTTCAAGTGATTTAAATAAGTAAGCCAAGCTGTATCCTTCTGTGGAAGAAAAATATCGCCATGC